GAAAGACAACGTTACCATAACATTCTGAATTAAATCTTTCCACATATAACATACTTTATGATTGGTCAGTTATAGGTGCCATACTATTTACAGCACGTGCCACCTGTCACATGCTACATTGAGCCAATTGTCGTTTTCCTAAGTTCGATTTCTGTAACTCGCGTGTTCGCGTGAGCAATAGAACCATTGATCACGATCCGCATCTTTGACACGAAACTCTGTAACTATATTAAGAGGAGCTCTTGAATTCCCTCGTCACGTTCACGGCTCTTTTCATTTTCTCGAATTGAGGGAAACGTGCCTTCTTTGTAGAGGACAAAGAATATGTTTAGATCATTCTTTATTGATGAAAAATAGAAGTCGTGTCGGTTTAAAAAAAGCAGCGGTGGCGGTGATTGTTGTGTGAAGTCTTTTGTGAGAACAGATAAATGATCCTTTGTTCGGAAGCTTGTTAGTTGGTAAAATAATCAAATGGATTGCCTTTGGGTTGGGGACAAAAGAACACATGGGTGGAACTAAGCGCAAAGAAAACACTAAAACAAAACGAGTCAAAACAATATTATCAATATCAAAAAAGTTAACGGAATCAACAAGATAAAGTTAACGAAGCGTTACAAACCCCACAAAGGAAACCCGTCAGTTGCAAACCGAAAGCGATCCTGACAATTTCTGTTATCTGGCGTAGCAGAAACTTATCATGTATAACACTACTCGTTTTGACAGTAAGAGAAAAGGCAACCCTTATGCATACAGTATTGTTGTGAACCGATTTTTACTTAGAATGATTTTTCTAGGCCATAGTTGTGCCATTTTAATTGGCTGCTACCCTATCTTTCACGTTGGAAACAGCTTGCACGACGTTATTCTATGCATGAACTTAACAACGACGGTGGATCGTAAAACAAAAATCTCTCGTGATTCTAGATGGAGTGACAATGAACGAGAAAAATGAGACCGATGTAAAATTGAGCAGCTGGTTGAAAAATTCTGCTTCGCATTGCATTGAGCATATCCTTGGAAGTTGAGTCTCGTTTAATTTTTAAACAGCAGGAGTTTTGCTGAACTTTATTTAGCCACTTTTTCTCCAGCGTTACGTAGAATACAAGAGCAAAAGTTCACTTAGTAAGACTCATGAAAAGCTCATTTTCTGTGGCTCGCTATGTGAATTTTAGAAGTACACTTACACTCATCTGCAAGTAATTCTTAGGATAGAAACTAGCAAAGAAGTCCTCCAACGAAAGCTCGCTTCCGAATTGATCTTCTGCGCTTGTGATTTTTGTTGTTGATTTTATCAAAAGATTAGACCATAAAGGGGCAAAATAGTCGTTTGACTGTTATAATTCCCTTCTGTTTTTTTTAATTTAATTATCTTTTTTGTGTCGACTGGAGATTATAACGTTAGTTAAAGTCGCGTTCCATATCAAAACGTGTTTTTAGATGAACAATTCTTTAAACAATTGCAAAAGTATCCGCGAGGCCATTTGATTATAAAGATCATCGTTATTTCATGACAAACCGAAGCTGCTTTCTTTTGTTGTGGTTTTATTTCTCTCGCGTTCTTTCTCGCCCATGACAAAGCACATACTTATCATTTGGTTATCAAGGGCCTTTAAGACGTTTTAGTGAATTTCAAGAGACCATTTTACACGCTACTAAAGCGGCGCCTAGTGAAGTACGTCTGAGCAGGAATTGCCACCCCAAGGGCACTTGTGAAGAACAAAACCTCTTGCATCATAATTTACGTACTGAGCTAATTAATTTACTCCCGATAGACACCACGACTTTATAAGCACTTGAAGTACTTGGGAAACACACAGGTAAATGGCTTGCGGTTTTTGATGTAGTTCTATTTTTAAGTGGCCATGTTGTTCAGTCTGCGCACTTATCTAATTTGTTTGTCTCTGAAAATGATTAAGAATGTGTTATAAACCATCTTTCGTCAGCTCGTTCTTTACAAACCTATGAACATTACTTCTTTATGATTCCTACGTAAAATTTTTATGCTGTTTTTATTGCCTATTTTATTTATGTTCCTTGAACGACTGCTCAAGGGAGCGCTGGCATTGTAGTGAGACAAAGTGCAATGCAGTGATCACTTCGTTGTCTAAAACCAAGTAGTATAACGATAGTATAGACTAACCTTTCTGGAAATAAAACAAAACTGTTTTTGTAGTCGTTTCATTACTCTGAGATGTGATTACCTTTAAGGGTTTTGTTTTTATTTTAAACTTGTAAGTGCTCTTCGCCTTTCAGGGAGAAAGGGGCCTTTCTTAACTAATGACCCACAAAACCATAGACGCCTTTCTGAAGTTTTCTTCTCGATTACAGTCATACGTTTTGTTCTAAAAGTATGCATTTGTCGAGACTTTTAAGAATAAAACGTACTAATACAACCTAAAAACGTCGCTTAACCATGTTTAAGAATCAGAAAGGAAAGCATTAGATAGACTATCAGATTTTTTGAACATAATTTAACACATTGAATCGTTTTACAAATTCCATAAATTCCTGGAGCTTTACTTAAAACTGTTTCTTTCTGTTTGAGCTCTAAAAAAGGGAAAACTCGGACACCTTAGCTTTACTACCAAATAAATTCAGAGACGAAGACTAATTTAAAAAGATTTTTATGACTGGAATGTACTATAACAAAAAAAATGATCGGAAAGATTGACAAAGCGCCGGAAACGTGGGTTTGAGCGATGTATCAGCGCATCTTCTACTCAATAACAAAAAAAATTTGGACTCTCAAAGTTCTAGAACAATATCATAATGGAGGTACACGTTGCGGTTCGCCCACATGCCGGATGTTTCTCAGCTGGGCTTCGAGGTATCGAAGTGGAAAATTACGTTCATTCGCGCGATGCTACGTTAGAATATTTTAACTGAGTTGCGCTCACGCTTCAGTAGCTCGCCTTTAATACTGAGGTTGTAAATGGAAAAAGTCATTCTATAGTTTTGTGCAGTTGTAACGAGTAGCATTTTCAGTGTAAAACAAAGCTTTTTTTTTCTGAGCTATACCTCGTTTAATTTCTTTAGCAAATAATTTTGAAGGGTGAAGCAAAATTGTTTAAACCTGTTGCTACTTTGACCAAAGTCGTCAAGTATAGTGTTATGGCAGCGTTCTACGTCAAATGTAACCCACTTTCTAGGAAATATTCCAGTGTTTGAATTTTACATGCATCGGGTCGGTTAAGCTGAGGCACGTGCGTACGGGTTGAAAAATGACTTGAGAAGTAAATTCAAATCTTACCCAGTCCGGTATCGTGCTTATTTAGAACTTTTTGTTAATTGCGGCGATATCGGCTTTGAAACGACCTGATCACAATATTTGCGAAAAACGTGAATTGTACTCCGCGCATGTTAAGTCAATTATTCCTAGTTGTTTTAAGTTGTGAAGCTAAAAATGAAGACGATTTACCTTTTCCTTTCTTTCTTTTCTTCTGTAAAGCGTGTTCTATGGCGTTACTCGTTATTCACACCATAAATATTGGGGAAAATTGACTGCGTTTTTAGTCATGGTGTTATTAGAGATGAGTGTTAACTCTTGAAGTGTTGTATTACATCGCAAGGTGGTTATTTGATTCCCCGTGTTTAAGGAGGCTGCTAAAAAGAGTTCGTCTGTTATTAAGCTGTCACTAATTTTACTTCACTGTAAAGACACAACTCATTACACTGAAAGAATAACAAAGCTACATGCGTAAAACAGTAACAGTGTTTAGTATATTCATGTTGAAACATCCTCAAGGTATTTCTAACATATGAATCTCTCTAAAAACAAATCTAGATGTGAATGTCTCTATGAAGATTGAAGAGAGTTGAGAAGAACTTTTTCTCCCTATAAACTTGATGTAAAAGAAGAATTTACCCCGGATGTGAAAGCTTTTCTCGTATGTTACAATAGCTTTAAATTTAGAAGGAATTCCAACGTGTCGACATAAAGCTTCTCTCTCCCACACGTTTTAAGAAAAAGTTTTTTCTGGCTTTCCGCTCTGAAATACTGATATAGTTGGCTTTCTTTTGTTGTCTTTCTTTTTCTACTAGCTTTTTTTCTTTTTGTATTTTGTGTAGTGTGCGCGCGTGTATGGTATCTGACCTTTTAAACAATAATTTGTTAATAACCTAAGTGAAGCTGCCCTATCTTTTAGCCCTCAGTGGTTATTATGGGAAGTCTAAACTCTCCATTTTTCATTTAATATATTTTTGTATCGTGTAAATTAATTTAGGGTACAAAATAAAGTTGTTGTGTTTGAAAGAGGGGGCGTTCATTCAGGAAACCTGCTTTTTGTTTAAATTTACTCGTTTTTAGACGGGAAGTTTATTGAAATAAAAACGTATGTTTATTCATCCCACGATTGCAGTGTTTTATCAATAACTCCAATTCATTATCGTTCTTCTTCGTGTATTTGTTTGTATACCTTAGTAAATTTCATGTCTACTTCTTTAATAATGGTGTCATGACAACGCCCATCTTTTTAGAGGGGTTGAAAAAGCACGTAGGTGTATTTTTCTTGATTCAATGGATAATGGAAAGAATAAATACACCTTATTCAATGGTTTAATACAAAGTACGTGCTGATATTTTGCGAGTTGCATAATATTTTCATGAGCCTCGTAGGGGGCAAGGAAAAATAAGATCAATGAGGAAAATACCGCTAGTATAACATATTAAACCAAAGGGGATTTATTACTCCAGATTTATTTCATTTTCTAGTCTTATGGCATTTAGTGTTCGAAACCTAGTAGGGTCATATCTGAGCATCTTACCGACCACATATGGAGTACGTGAAAGAAGAAAACAACATTAAATAATTCTTGTGGTATTTTAAGTTAGTTGCTGAAAAAAAAAACCATGTCTAAAAAACGGAAAAGAAATCTAAGATCGCGCGGATCGTTTCTGTCCGTCTACAAAGTAATACCGTAGCATATTTTGTGCGTTCCATTGTCTTAACATGGTAAAATGACGTGATAGTGAATAATAAAGATAGTTATTCGACACTAGCTTATGATTCATGTGCAACCATTGAAATGTACTCCTTCACTTTGTTGGCAAGCTCTTCTTTCTTGTCCTTAGATTTCACAGGGACACCTCGCTTTTTAAGCCAGTCGATCAACGTCGCCATGTTTACCTTGTGGAGCTAAATGTATGTTGTATGTTTAAGCTTCGTAATGAGGCAAAGCACTCAAGATAATAGTAAAGTGACGAACAAAAGCTGAGGGGAAGGCTGACTCCCTGATAAGTGAGAGTTAAGGGCGCGGTTCAAATTTCGAAATGAAAATTTAGGCTAAAAATCAATATGAAACTAACTGGAAGAGCGGAAAAGGGAACAGCTGTTAGCATTGATAAAACAGAGTTAAATGCTTTGACGGTTAGAAAGATGAGGATCTGCTTCCTTTGTCAGATAGCCTTAAGCTTCTTCTCGTGAAAAGAACGCATTTGGTGGACTACTGGGTTCTTCTTTGAAACAAAGTTGTTAACACATTTGAGAATTTGGAATGAAATGAGGCTGGAATTGGAAAACAGTTTTCTCTTTGTTTTCTTTGAATTACTCATTTCTGTTCGCAACGATTACTGCTCTGCAAGCTGATCAAATTATTTTCTTGAGTTCTCGACAGACATGCAGCCTATGACTTTAGGCTCAGTGTACAATAAAGGAGACGATGCCCTTAAAGATGATAAAATCCGAGAAAAGCAATATGGAACAAGGAAGGAATACTTTACTTTACCTGCTGCTTTATGGCCAGCTCTCTGACATCCACATTCTCCTGAAGTTTCGGCTTTGACTTTGGCCCTTTAGAAGGCGTGCCTTCATTTGGAAGGCCATTGATCTGAAACGGAAAAAAGCTTTCAATCAATTTAAAGACCTAAGTAGGGATTGGATATTTTTATGTTTATTGTGACATTCCTGAAGTATCGGGGGATACTTCGGATTACAAGTGACTTCTGAATAATGTCAAAGAAGAAATAAATTACTCCATTTTTTCTGGTGTTGAAAATGAACCCGAAAAACCTCCCGGACAGAGGTTAAACCGCATAAACACTTATCGGGCTATGATAAAATCATTCCACATAAAACTATGTACCCGAACAGGAGTAGAACGAGGCTCATTCATCAGCAGACAGGGACTGGTACCCGGTCTGCCATTTTCTGCTACTGATAATGAAGATCTATTTGCAGGATTACTGCTTGACGACAGACAAATTTCATTCCCTGAGTACGCGGTGTCTTCAAATGATCTGCAGTTTGTGTTATCTGTAGGGGAGGCCGCAATATTTCTACGTTTAGGCGCTTGTGTTATTATTAATTCAGGTCTCGCTTGAGGCAAGAACCTTGAAACTGGACTCGACAGGCTTAGACTGTGACCGGAGGAGATGTCACGCCTAGAGAATGATGCCCCATTAAAAACCGTCGTGGGAGAATCCTCTTTCACACACATTGGGCTTGAAACGCTTCTCCCAATATCTTCACTTGCCCCATCATTTATACCTCGTCTTCCTTCAGCGTGAACGTTCCTGTTTTCAAGCAGAGTGCGGCTCGAGTGTGTTGATTTATTTCCTGATTCATTTCTCACTGTCTTCCTCATTTCTGCTTGGTGGAAAGCTAGCAATGAATTCGACGAATTTGAAAGTGGGCTTTTGTGCGTGGGAGCAGCGTGATAAATTGATAAAAATCCAGAGAACGCCGTTTTTGCTCGAGGTTCAGATCCTCCTTTAAGATCTGTTTTGTGCCCTTTTTTGTAACCTGTACGTTGTTCCTCTTCATGGCTCGGCACTCGTTTTCTTGAAAACATTGGAATTATTCGTGTGCCAGTGAATTGGGAAGCAGAGTTAGAGGACGCTGTAATTAGGTCAGAATCATTTGATATGCTGCTGACAGAGCTACTGCTGGTGAAACAAGGTACATATGGTGAAGAAAGGTGTGAAATAGGTTGAACGACAGGAGAGTGAGAGGTCGGCTGAGACGAAATCAAACGAGATAATGAAGATGTGACTACTTGCTTCTGAGTATCCTCGGGTGTTTTTGTACCTCGCACAGTGAAGGGTTTACATTGGTTGAATTGAGGGGGTGTTTTCTTTGTCAAATTTAAGTGGTTTGGGTTAGAAGCGTGTTTAAGGCTGCTCGTTGGATAGAGTGGAGAAGAGGTAAAAGTCAATGGTGCCCCGCACACAGTTTGCATGCGCATTGAAAGGTCTCTTAAAAAAGAGTTGAAAATTAACTGGTGATCACAGCGAGGAGACACTAACACTTGGCTGCTTCGAATACAGCTAGCTGGGTATCTGCGTCAATGTTAAGAAATTCTCCCGTCTCTATCATGAAATCTTAAAAGAGGTCAAGTTTTGGTCTAGTTAAGTGTAGCTTTTACCGACTGGGCTTATCTCCCATGGCTATTGGTACGCTCCGGATTGAATGCTTGTTCATCGTAGGTTACCACCACCTCTTTCTCCTCTCTCTCCCCCCCTTCTACGCCATTTTGTCAGGTTTCTAAGAAATTTTGCCATAGCCATTTGCACTTTTGGGGGGGGCGACGAAGGGGCAGTATGGGACTAAGAAGCTTTCCTTACAACTAAAACCCGGCAGGGGTTTCGATGGCTTTTGAGGCCGCTGAAGTCTCCTTTTTTTCCAGTCCAGCCTCTTAATTAAACCACAAAATTAACTTACATTCAGTATTCTTAGGGCCCCATTACAAAGTCGGAAATTGCACTATTCGAAAAACGTCGAGGAAAGGATACGTAAATATTTTATCTTTGATGTAATAGAACTGTACATTGTAGAAAATGTTTTCTTCCGGTGGAAGTCTGTATCCGTACTGTTGAAATAAATAAAAAGCCCAAAAAAGTGGACGAAGTTAAGTAATTTACGAAAATGGGTTGCATGGTTTCACTTATAAACGTGAATAAAAATTCCTACAATAGCCAATCTAGCATTTTACTCTTATTTATAAAAGACCGGAAAGTTTACACTCATATTTGTTTTTAAGGTCCCCACAAAAAAAAAACTAGATATAATAGTATCTTACAGGTTCTAACACGAACTTGAGGTTAGACTGTTCCATGCGTTCAATTAGTAAAGAAGGTAATTGAGGGTGATTGTAAACTGCTTGGTAATAGCGGCGGGACGAAAACTGGAGGGAGGTTTGGGAACGTGGTGTTCTTTACGCGACCCGACCTGACTATAGCGCCGTTCATTTTTTTGCTCAGCCCCTACTGTCGCGTCGTGCAATACTGCGCTCCGTTTTGTCGCACTTAACCCCTGAAACAGTCTACTTTGAATCGGTTATCCGTTTCAATAATGTTCAATCTTTCAATGTTCATACCATCAGTTTCCAATGTTTTCGCAGTTCTTCGTAACTTGTAAAAGGGCATTCATCAGGAATTTGGTGTGTTATGCTAACAATCCTTCCTTTTTTAAGGCTAAAACAGTGCAAAGGTCAATTTGCGACAGCAAGATAATGATAAGATGCACTAGATATAAGCTTTCTTACAATAGAACATCTTTCCAAGCATTTCTGAACTCCATTTTCTGCTGTAAGCGTGATAACATTTTTTTGCTTAGTTAGGATATCAAGATCATTAAAAAGCCCACCACGCCTCCTTTCAGCCCTCTTTAAAAAAGGTTGGAAAGCTTATGCACGCGAGAAGTCAGCCAGTCTTGTAGTCTACACATCCTACTACAATCTGCAATGTTCTGCAAGTATTCACTGAAAATAAAGGGTTATACAAAAATAGGCTGTGCTACGCCAGATACGAAAAACCACTAAAAAACCACTCTTTAGAAGTGGCCAAAAACTATGTGGAAACGTATTCCTCATCTAATGCAGCAGCACTATACCCCGAGGAAAGCGAGTCCAGCGAGTCAATAGCGCACAGTTTCTATCTATTTTTTTGCAATGTACGTATGAAGTTTCCTCTGATGCAAATCTACTATGATTGTAGTTGAATGCTTATGTGAGGTAGCTTACCTTGGCAACACAAAACACAAGTCGTCAGAAATAGAGATGTCACTAATGTGAGATTCTTTGTTACTGTGGAATTCTTCTAGTGCTTTTACTGACGCGGTAAAATGCTCAGGCTAGATAAAAATTAAAATAAAATAAAATAAGCAAAGGTCAAAGTGCCAAAAAAAACCAAACGATGTCTTACGCGCCTGGTTTGCGCCGCGAATGCACATTTCGTTCGGTAGATTATCATAATTTTCGAAGATTTACTCAAGATAAAGCTTTTGAAAAAAAATACAACTCATCGTAGATGAAATGGTTGTCTTTTTCCTCTTGCGGTTACCCTGAACGTTCGCCCGTAAAATTGAATACTTTTAAGTGGACAGAGGCTCTACAAATGTAAAATACCTTGCACGGGGTTAACTTGAGAGAAAAAGGTTGCAATCCAATGAAAATCTTGTCGGTGATTGTTACTTCCAAAGCTGCAATTTTAACGTAAACTGCACCAAAAAGACTTCAAAGACAAATGAATTCGAGCTTCATAGGGTAAAAAGAGGGGAGTCATTAGATTTAAAACTTGAGAAAACATGGTTTGCATAAGATATATCGAATAGCGAGAACAGAGTTGACTATTTAATTTGTGACCTCATTCTTGATTACCATTCCAGCCATCAAGATATAATTTCTCCAAGCTTCTCTTATAAAACTGAAACTTAACAGCTGAGGATTCTTAATATTGGGCAACAGTGAGTTGTTCCTCTAAGATTGGTGGAAAATTTAGTTTTATACTCTTATCCAAACTGTCTTTTACTAAGCCAAGGGAGGAAGTGAACGTTGCCAAGTTCAAATAAGAATTCCAGCTTAACTCTCCCAGATAATGTCTCAATATTACTTACAGATTGCATTTAGCTTTGAATTTTCCAGCATGAAGTCTCGACCTATGTAGCAATATAGATAAATGAATAAATAAGACTGTACAAAGTGAATAATTTATTGATTGTCAGGCAAAATAGCTTCAGTGTTTTTGCAAGCATTTAGGTATCATTCATTATTCATAGCCTGGGAGAGTGGCGGGGTGAGAGCTACAGTCAATTTTCTTATTGTCCCCTTTATATTCTGTTGGCAGCATCTGATCCCCCTCCCTTCCACCCGAACACCTTGCGATACCCCCTCCCCCCTCAAAAGAAAAACCCTCCGTCACTCCCCCTCTCCAGGCAATAGATAATAAATGGTCTCTTAGAGGCTAAACTTGAAAGTGTTGAAATATCCCAAACCTACTCTGTGACAGAGTGTTTTCCTGCTACAAAACAAACATTTTTGTTGTATACAAAGTTCACATACAGCATTCTTCATAAGATGTAAATAAAGAATCAACTGAATGATTTGCGGCCACACCAAAATTACCTTGGACAAGAAATTCGCCAGCTTTGTTCCACAACGGTGCAAGTTTCTGTCTCATTGTGAAAGAAAAACAGAACTGAAACACAGTCCTAGTCAAGGTTACTGGTTCTGTAATCTGTTAAGAATAGATAAACACAACTATTGTTCTGTATACAAAATAGACTGGAAGGGAAAGTGGGGTAGTTCTCACATCTGAGTCTTTGCTACAAAACGGACGGACCCTTACAATCGGAGTTTGATGGAGGAAGTATTTTCTCTTCAGGCGAGTCCAGGTTAGCTATCCAACTATTTTTGGAGAGGTAATGTGTTAAGTGTTTCTGGGCTGATTTCATACTCCATTTGATTGAGCTGTAGTCATGATTACCTTGATGCTCAGCCTTTGCAGTAGCTCTTGAAATTGAGGAGACTTAGACATTGGCTTCTAAAAAGTACATGGTTGAAAGGAAAATTAAGTTGTAAGACGGAATGCCATTCAGATAAAGAGCACAATCTTTAAGTACACATCTCGGTTTGATAAAATCTGTAAGAGCTACCACGACGAACACAGCAACTATAACAACCATAACGACAACAAAGGCAAGAACAACAACACAAAACAACAACGAATTAATAAGTTAATAAATAATCAATTTAATTGAATAACTTTTTCTCTTCGTTAGCTCATTCAACTATTCAATTTGGTTTTACCCTTAATACAACTCAAGCATTGTGTTCATCGTTGTGTATTTGAAATTCAAATAATCAATCAGTTGCTATAATACACATAGCGGCTCCAGTTCTACCGGTTTAAAAATAATTGATACCAACCGCAGTTATGAGAAATAATTGATTCCTTTCTTCCATTAATGGTGACACAAGAACTTTGGGTTCCGTGAAAATTAACTCTCTGCAAGCAAAATTCAAACACCTGTAAATCAACTGAGACAAAAGCTACCATCTTTATGCTTCGCCAGTAAAATCGAGTTTAAAAATAGCAGTAACCTTAGGGCTATCGAAATAAACTATACCTGCAACACAAGGGCTGGATAGTGCTTATTTCATCGTCGTTTCTCGATTGAATGATGGCTTTGACCGCCATTAGTTCGTCGAAGCTTGGTAGAGAACCGAGAAACAGAGCTTCGCGGTCCCTCATTTTATAATTATTTAGGGGATGAGTGTCTGCTCGAGTTTCGTCGTGAAATCAGTCAGTGAAAGATGTGATAAGCTATTGAAAGAAAGATAGAAGGCAGAAATATCGTTTCCATTGAACTGAATGAAAGTTCTTCGCGAAAGGTCGACCAAGGTTTTCAACTGCTCCAATTCCTTGGCGGGAAGATTTTCCCGCCATTTTATTGCGCAGGCTTCCGCTGACTCACACATCCTTGGGGCCTCACTACAGCAGTAGGCGGCCACATGAAGAGCATTATTAAGAAATTTCACATAAATGCCAAATAAGGAGAATATAATGCCATGTAAGGTAAAAATAACAACAACAACAACACCAACAACAGCAAAAACCGAAAAGACAGAAAAAAGGCGAATAAATAGCTCATTCCCCTACCCAATTGAAGATGCTCAAATTATTTTTCCCAGTCACACTTTCGCCATCTGATAAAGAAAAATCTCAGACTCAATGTTCAAATAATACTTCGTTTTATTACAATAAATCTCTTTAACTCATTCTTCCTTATTACCTTATCAGCTATTGTGACCAAAACTACAAGAAACATCAATCAATCAATCAACCTCAGTGGATTACTTTGCCAGTAATCTAATAGCAATTGCAGGGAATTGCTTAAATAACGTAACGTTTAATTAATTTAGTGATATGTTAAGGACCAATCACAGAGAGTGTAGTATTGCAATTATTTTTAAAAATGTAGCTCGGTTAGCGTCTTACTGCAGCCTAGTCACTACTTAATGCTGCGTTTTAACAAAGATACTTCTATTAATCTCGTCCAGTACGACCCACGCTTTTCTTGATGGTGACGTAGTGTTAAGTCGTTGCGTAAGGAGGTCAAGGGAAGAGGTACCAGTCCTCACTAAGCCTGTGGTTTAAGTCGTCAGTGGAGTGGCTAGGTAACATAACCTGCCCCACTGTAAGAAGACTTTCGAAAGCTCTCCTTAGTTACGAAACTCAGTTCCCACGGCTGAGTGTTGCAAAGATATAACATTACATCACCATCATTACGCTACTACCCTGAACTTTGTTTTTCATGATATAACTCTGAAGGATAACGCATACCATCAGGCTTCTATGGGCCGCCTCTTAGGGCCAGGTCACTAAAACTGGCACGTCCTTCTTGTCGTTCAGCCAAAGAAAATCAAATGCTCGACATCTTTCAAAGTAATATTTGATTTTTTTAAATAATAATCCTACGCTAGTTATTTTGAATACACGCTATCCATCGACTGAAATGTCACCAAAAGTAGCGCGACCTTCTTATTTCTAAGATCTACAAAATTAAAGGCAATTTACCCAATTACTGGAGCAAAAGTAACATTGACATTAAAATAAGATATTAAAATATTAAAACTTGTGTCTGATTAAATAAGCTCAGTGAAAGTCGAAACTATTAAATCTACAATAAAAATTAGGATAAAGTCATGTGGTATAACAAAGCACTAAATACAGGAAACTCATAAATGAGTTGTCTGTGACATAGGCCGTAACAAAATTAAAACTTCTGACGACACTCAGCAGTGGTATCCTATACTCTTGTATCAAGCACGAATGCGATGACTACCATCAAATCTAAGCGACATTACTGAGCCTTTAACCAATGCCTCGGTCGCATCAAAGATAAAAAAAGAAAGAAAGAAAAGGCTTTATTGCAAAAACGATTTGACAAATTACCATCACATAGTGCATGTATGGATATGGAATAAAAAAAATTAAATTTGTCAAAAGGAACAAAGAGTGATTGCTTTCGGCGCAATTACAGCTAAGTAATATGAAACATTTTCTTCTTTGAATCAATAAAATAGTTCAAACCAGCCAATGACAAGATACGATTTCCCCAGATTTCACAAGAAAATCGCACAATGCACAAGAGCCTTGCCTAACTTCCTGCTTCACAGGTTACATCTAAATCAAATATGAGCCACGTGGCGCGCCCGCGTTCCAAATAGCTCTTTAAAAGGCAGCGGCTTCTCACAACCAAAGATGCAATCGATGAACACCTTCCCGGCTTCATGCGAGCCTGACTTTGAATGACATCTAATGCTATCCGTAATAAGCTTTTTTTACTTCACATTTACATCTTGCTTTTCAGTTGAATCCCAGTTGTTTATACAATAATAGATCATTTGTCCAAAAATAACATTCAAATATTACACATCAGTATGAACTCTTAAACAATCTGATCATGATATCCGAGATTATGGCATTTCAAGCCAATACAAAAGATATGTCAAGTCCCATAGCTAATTAATGATTCCTTACAACATGTAATCCTTTGTTAAACGCTTCTAATCACCAATATCTTAAAATTTATCTCTTTCCTAAATAACAAACATATTTTATAAAGTTGGTTCTAACAATTTGGTGTTAATATATCTTTTCATATTAATCCCCTCTCTTTTTGACAATACGTTGATATTTCCCTTCCATGAGACAAATCAAAAATTTTTTCCGGCACATAGCGTACAGATTCAAAGTTGTTGTATGTCTACCGCATCAGTCATTCGAGTAGGTCTCCCCGAACAGATTAAAGAATAAAACTAAAAATCATTCATCAGTTACTAAAACAAGATAAAAAGTTTACAACGTAAACTAGTCACTCTACTCAATTTTCACCGGAATTAAAAGCGGGGATTTGACTTGTATTGGGTTCCATGCCCTGCTCCGTAGTGAGATGGTACCTGAAGATGAGCTTGCGGTAACTGCTGACCTTGCTTACGAAAACCTGTTAGAACCGGTTGGAACGCCGACTGTGCACCCGCTGTGCCGCGGCCTCGCTGCAAAGTACCTAGCTTTCCGTATGGCATATTGTCAAAAGCACGTTGACGCTGAAGGTTTGTATGGTAACGTGCATAAGAGGGGTGGGGATATCCTGAAGTTACAGCACCCCTCCCCTGAGGCCACCAGTTCTCCCTTGGGAGGAAAGGGTCGCTGTAGTGCTGCGGAGGAAGGGGAGGCCGATGGTGAGAAGGCCTCAGAGTGTCTTCCGTTAACGATGTCGTCTTGGCCCACAGCGGAGGAGGGGAAGAATCTCGAGAGGACCAAGGATTCTGATGAAATAGCAAATTATGAAAATCATCACCTATTACAATTCAATGTCAACTTGATAAATAATAAAAAACAAATGATAACCGAGTAATAAAACACCTCGCATGTAGGAGGGGTCATAATTTTACCCCCCTCAATTCTCTATGAGAATCAAACCCAAGAGCAAAGACGATCATTAAAAACAAGGAAAGTGCTTCCTTTCCAGCTTTCGGGTAGTTATCGCCGTATAATAACAATAAGATGATAATTCTTTTATCCACCAAGAAGAAAAAGAAAATACTGAAAGAAAGAGGGAGAGAAGGAAGTAAGGAGGGAAACAAACAAGCAAACAAGAAAACGCACGTTTACCTTTTGTGCTAAATCTTCCACACTCCAAGGCTTTCCGACATTAGGTATAAAGGAGACACTATCCGTAGGCATTGCCTCACAACTATAAATTAATCACACAAAATACCATTACATGAACAACGAGAAGTAAGAATGTAGCTGCAGAACATTAAAAAAAATACTATTGGACCAAACATATCATAGCCCGAGTTTATATGTTTGGAAACAAGTCTACAAAACTTGATCTAGCACGCGAAGTCACGGCTCACTGGTAAACGTTTTGGTAAAAAATAAAGTTTGATAGACAAATCTTGAACTTTGAAGTAAAGTTTTCTCGAAACCAGAACCTGCAAAGAATTCAATCTATCTAAATATCCCACATAATTAATTCATGCTTACTACATGAGGTACCTTCCTCCCCGGGCAGCAGCTAGCAGATCCGGTCCAGTAATCCCCAGCCCAAGAGAGAACACAGTCTTTCCTCTTCCAGATCCATCAGCGGTAAGGGATTCCTGAGACTGGTTCCAATTGCTCGCAGAAGCCTGCAAAATCAGCAAATAATATTGAAACAATGAATCTTAAAATGCATTTCGCCAATGACCTAGCGTATTATAGCAGGTGACAAATATATCTGTTGAAGTCGTTTTGGGCTATAAACTATGATTTGCATATATAACTACATTAAATCTACCGACTTATTAAATTGCCGCTTCTTTCCAATTGGCATGGCTTGAAAACATAAACGTTCCAAACTTTATGGGCAGATTAAAATCTTTGGCACTGGCAAGGGAGAAAAATTTTAAATTGACACTTACACTGGGAATGTTGGCCCATACTGGGTTGCCATGGATACTGTTTCCATAACTGGACCACTTCAAACCAAGGTCCATTAGTCCTGGGCCTGAATTGCTGGGCAGCAAACTCTCATTCAGACTCTTGGCATCTTCATTAGCCTCATCATTTTTCTCATTTCCTGGGAAATCAGACAGAGACCAGCAGCTGTGGTAGAGAGTGTCCTGTGATCCATGTATGTCTTTCTTATGTAGCAGTGAGCCCTCTGAAATGATGTCAGAGGAATCTGATGGAGGGCTAGCATTCTCCCAAACACTCCTATTCAAGAACAAAAAATGGAATCCAGTTACTTCTTCCCATGTCACAGGTATCTATTTGTCCAATTGGCTAGGGAGAAATTTTGTGAGAATAAACTGTCAAGCCCACATGCAAGAGTACAACTCACATTCCAGTCATGTACATCTGTTAAATAAGGAGTGATTCTTACCTAAGGCTCTCACTGATGGTCACTGTTTTCTCATCAGGACACTCATCAGAGCTCACTGTCACCAAAACTGGGCTGGGAGTCTTACTTTGCTTTACCTGCTGGTTAATTGTGATACTCAATGTAGGTGCATCAGCTAAGGGGGCACTGTCGGTACTCTTAACACTCAAATCACTACCATCTTGCTTTGTTTGTGATGGCAACACTGGCTGGGGAGTGTTGGTCTTCTTTTCAGCACCATCAACAGTTTTATTTTCACTTTCTGACTTCGCATTATCTGATAGTAACTCTAGGACTGGATTTTTGACACCACCTTCTTTATCTTCCTTTGCCGGCTGGTTTTGCTCAGGTTGGCTTTCATTGTCTGCATTTGCTGATTTGTCAAACAAAACTGGACATGTTTCAGTTGATGGTGAGGTCTGTGTTTCTGTGGTGACCATCGTTCCTTGGGAAGAGTTAACCCCCTCACACAAATTAAGCACTGGGGTGTTAACCCTTTCCTTGGTTTCTGACTGACTCTTGTCGCATGATTCCTTTTTTTCAGTTTCTTCATTTGGACATGCAGTTGCAGAGCTAGGAACAGTAATGTTGCTTAAAGCTACACTGTAAATGCTTCCCAGGCCACTGTCTATGGGAGTCATGTGGCTTTCTGCCATGCTTGGATTTGCATCATCATCTGATATTAGCCGATGTTTAATTGGCGCACCAGAAAGGAAGTTTATCACATCTGTGAGTTCTTCTTGAGAAGCAAGTGACAATTCACTCTGACAGTCTAAAAATAAAGATTTTTTTCCCTAAATATGAAATGTTGTTAAATCTCAATCAACCACAAAATAGCTTAGTGAAAGGTGCAAAATATTGACAAGTGTGTACAGTAAAGAATCAAATGGTAGGCCAACATGTAGACTTTGACCTAACCTACCTTCTGTGTTAAATCTGTTGACTTTGTATTTCTATTTGTGCTTGATTATTGAATACTTTGAAACAATATCTGAATTTTTTCTGTTGACATATGAAATGGAATTTTCTTTCCTTCCAAGAAGCAAGAGCTTCTTACAATTTACATTTAATTGCTCATGAATTCTACTTACATGGCATTGTGCTTTTAAAAGTCGGCAGTGGAAATTGTGGAACAGACTTTGACCAATCGCTTGGTGACAAAGGATCATCAGCCTTGCTCAGCTCTTCAACAATCTTTCCTGAGGTGGAACTTATACTCTCAGGAGCCATTGATTGTTCTTTGGCCCTTCTTGCCCAATGACGTGGGCGTGGTGGGGGAAGAGGAGCTGGGTCATCAATGTCAGTGTCATGTTCCTCTCCTGTGTCAGTGCTGGATGCAACAGATGTGCGGTAACCTGAAATCCAGAGTGATATGAAATCAAATTAAATGATTTTGTGGAAACAGAAAAACTCTGCATGTATGAACCAAATATTTAGGACAGTTAGGAGATAGGATCTCTGTTTAGACCCACTTCACAGAATGACCCTGGGCAAACTGCTTTAGTAAACATGTAATTATGTGTTTTAAAACAGTGAGGCTTTGTTTAATTGTTACACTTCAGTTGTATAGAAACTCTGAGAGAAATAAACTTCAATCCCCTTCAGATTGCATTCATTTAGACAGAACCAATATCCATCCAAAAGAAAAAAAAATGTTTTCCTCATAAATTTTTCTCAAAAAAAAAAATATTGAAGAACATTGGATAAAATACTGCAAAGCTGTAAGTTGAAATAAAGTTTAATTACATAGCTCATTGATCTCACAATAAAATTCACTTCCTTGTAGATGATGATGATGCGATCACGATTATTTTCTTTCTGGGATGTTTGATCACAATTTTAATATTTTGCTTATGCACAGTATACCTGACGACTCCTGTTTAGCCCCAGCACCAGATAGAACATTTTGATTGCTTGCATCTACCACAGCATTCAGATTATTGACTGCTTTGGATGTCACAGACTTTCGAGAAAATATCTTGGACGTGGCTTTAGTAAAAGTCTTTCTGAAGCTCTTGTGCTTATGATTTGGTGATATATCAAGTTTGGTCAACAAGGGTGGAGACTTGGAAAGGTTACGACGCTTAACATGAATTGCAGGTAAAGGCCTTTCTCTGTAAACAACAACAACAACGACAAAATTAGGAGAGAAAAACCACTGACAATAATACTATGATAAAAATAATAAACAACTTGTTAAAGGATCTGTCAAAAACCACAATAAAGAGATGTTAAGTTATTTACACAATAAGCCTCATTCCTACATGCCCCCTCCCCCCCTCCCCCCCAAAAAAAAGATATCCTTAACACTACACCCATTACGAACAATCAGTGGAATAGAATTTCCAGAACATATTTCCCCACAATAAAAAACAAAATAAAACAAATACTAGACTAAACAACTAAAAGTTGCCTTTATACAGGCCCAAGTGGCCCATGGGGCCAGTGCTTGACTCCAGTTTTCTTGGCATGAAGCGGCTAGGAGTATTGCTACTCCCCCCTGGATGGGATGCTAGTCCATTGCAGGGTTACCCCCAGCACATTTGCTGGTACCCATTTGTACACCTGGGTGAAGAGAAGAACTAAGAACACAACACAATGCCTAAGAACACAACACAATGAATGTCACTCACTTGTCCTCTAAATAATCCATTAAACTAAACTTGGATGTGTAAACAGCATCAACTGTTCCCAGAGGAGAAGGAAAGTCCAAGTCCTTAGACAGGCAAGCAAAGGTGGAGGAGTCTTCTGTGATTATCCTAAAAAAATGAAAAGTGCAAAACCATTTTATGTTTTGGATACTTTACAAGTATGGTAGCATGCAACTGTTAACATGTCGTCTTTTTTGTTTGCCTCTCTCTGTATCCCTGATGTTTGTTTTAGCATTACCATTACTGCAACTGCAGTTATTAAGAGGTTTCACTTTCTAGACTTAAGGATATTAGTCTGTAAGCCAGAGCAGAATATTTAAAGCTTTTGTTGAGGATTTGCACCAAAATTAATAATTCTCCCATCTCACTTGCTTAATGAAATGTTTTGACCAAAACGGCCAGCTACGTTACAAATATATTGCGAATCTTGTTGAAGCAGGGCGAAAATAGCCACTTGGCTCCTTAATTCTTCAAAGTGGTAGCCAATTCAAAAAAAGTTGGTCGCCATTTTCAAAGACAAACAAAATCTTTCTTTATGCTGTCAGCGTTCTAGATAGACCCTCCAAAATTAACGTGCTACAAAGTGGACACTAGGATGGATGATATACAACTTTCAGGCTCATCTAAATCCAAGATGGCGTCTAGTTATCAATCGAGATGCATGTGCTACGTTTTGGAAACAAACTTAACGAGGAAGTTTGCCGCGGATTTATCTCTGCAAATCTTTTTAATTCACTATATCTCTTGGTAAGGTTATGATGAAACGTTCTAGTCACCAATTTGGCGACTAAATTTCAGGATTTGGTTGCCAAAGTGAAAAATTTAGGCGCATTGGCGCCTGTATTAGGTGCAATTTCACATCCTGTGAAGTCTGGAAAAATTCACACTTGTCTCTTTTTTAGACTATCTCTTTATTTCTTCTCTCATTTTTGTGTTTGAACCTTAGTCATTAACTTTTTAACTCCCAAGATCTAGTAACAAATTCTCCCTTCTTGCTGAAAAAAATTGTTGTTATACAAAGTCTAGCTACCTGATAAAAACATCCTATTTCCATTTCTGGTTTATTGACACTGGGTGGTAAATTTACACACAGATTAAGTCTAGCATTTAACAAAGGAATCAGTTGAATATTATGTATCAAACCAAATATCTACATACCATGTGGTGGACACCTCAACATGAATGGATGTTCCTTTTACATACACTTGGGCCAGCCGAGTGTTTTTCTCTTTGCTTGGTTTAGCTGTTACCTTAATACAAGAGTAATGCCATGCACTTAAATAACAGTGTGTAAGTTGCTTTGTAGCATATTTTCAAATACATTCTGTATGCCAAGAACAGGGCAAAAAAAAAAAGGGAAGAAAAGAACAAACCTAAAATAACTGTGAATGGTATTGCTAATTCTCACAACATTATTCAAATGGTTAAAATCCGTTGACCACTAAATATAAAGCTTCATAACCAACACTTTTTTTTTATTTTTCTGACTTTGTGTTCTGGCTATTAACAAATACATACATGTTCCTGTGTTCTACCTTTTGAGTTACAAAGCTTCTAAGTTAACCAGTCCAAAAGTGTTATCAAAACAATCAGAGCTGCTGAGTCTCATGAATATTTTCTTACCAAATGGGCTTTGCCAAACAGAAGCTGTACAGCTGTTTTGGCTGCAGAACTGCATGCTGGAGAACAGGCCTCATACAGCACCATCAGCACAAACATATCCAAGGTATCACGATTGAGAGGGATGTCATTCTGCTTTGCAACAGAACTAACCAGGTCTCTGATACAGTGCTGTTTGGGTTGAAATAAAACTTCACTTAGTGACACAAAAGGTTATGCGGTATAAGAGAAAATGGCTGCATTCAAAAACTGTCCAGTTACACATCTAGACTTATTATCTACTTAAGGTAGTTACCAGCTTAGATTTGTAATTGTCATTGGCTTTACTTGGAGAGGAGCAAACTTCAGTCAACACATAACCTGAGAGAGAGAGAGAGAAGAAGAAGACAAAGACAAATTTATTTTCCCTGTGATCACTTCTTTTAAAACAACAAGTTTCTTACCAGTAGAAATTAGCCCAGAAAGGACACAACTTATCAAGAAGAATAATTTAGAGGAATATATTAAATTTATGGCCTTATGCACTTTTTGGCTGGATAAGAATGGATGACCACAATGATGATGAAAAGTTAACATAAGTTGCTTTTACTTAACTCTTCAATTCCTAAGATCTGTTTGTCAATTTTCCCCAAAAACTACTTCACATTTCCTTCTAGATCAAGATAACAACCACTTATTGTATCTTGGATATACAATACAACATTGAAATAGTGTCTAGCATATGTATCATCTAATTTATATTAATTTAGTAGCAAGATTGCTCATCAAACTATCTCTCACCAATTTTTAGTTGTAATTTTGGAATCTGCTTCAAAATCTGCAGTTCCATTTCTTGAGCAGTAACAGCTTCTGTGACACCACCAGCAGCCATTGCTTCCACTTCACTACAGCAACCCTGTTAAAAGTCATGTCCATGATTTCCCAGTCCTTAAATGTGCTAGAGGTTCTGATTTCTGAATCTTAAGTGCCTAGGAGCTAAATAACTCTATCTCTTGGTTACTTAGACCAAAAGAATTAGATTAAATTCTGATCATTTCACTTGTTTTCAAGTTGCACAGCATTTCATCACAATCCAGACACAATGTTTTCTGACTAATTTGTATTTATATATCTGCCATAATCTCTTGCCATGAATCAATATTTAAATATAAATCATTTACCTCTTCAAAAACAATCATCATCAAACCTCCTTCCACAATAAAACAGAGTAGTTGAGTAACTTTTTACTTTGGCCTTTTTGATGGCCAGATTTTTTGACATACTCTACTGCATCTGATGATGTTACATACCTTTAGAGCCAGCTCTATTCCCCTGGGATTCCTGTGGAAGCCAGCAGGTATGTCTGCTTCTGGTGTTGGAGCTTGATTAAACACCTTTTTGTAATTCTATAAACAAGCCCCATAAACAAATATGGAATGTCTCTGTTTCTCCAAATTTATGGGATATGCATGGTGTGGAAAATTGGGAAAATTCCCACAGTGAGGGAAGAGGGCTCGTGGTTCAATACCCAAAAGTGACATAATTAGTAGTTTCTTTTCGTTAGAATTTGTTATCTCTCTTTATTGTTAACCTTAACAGCAGTATGCATATACTCCACACTGTTCTCTATTCATTTCCTAAAGTGTTAGTAAGGAGAAATTGGTGATCCTTTCCTTTATTTCAAGATTTTAATGAATAACTCAGCAGTATTACTGTAGGGAGAAATTAGATGATGGTCAGTCTTAGGGTCTAAAGGGTTAATCAAATGATATAAAACATTAAATACTATGTGGCTCATTTTGCTCTTTCCATAGAAACACAGGTTAACCAGCTCTTCCATTTTTAATTCAAGCCAAACCTATGTACAGGGTGTGTATACCCTAAATATTTTTTTTAAAAAATCAAACAAACATTACACTGCATGGTAAAAAGTTTTACCTTGAGCAAATTGTTGACTTTCAAAATCAGTTCTTTTCTCTCTGGATCAGCCAGTTCTCCTTGAGCACCCAATGTTAAGAATTGCAACTGTTCCCTACTCAACATCTCTCCTTGACGCAAAGCTTGGTTTGACTGCAAGGAAAAGTTTTGTACTGTAACAGTTGCAAGGATAATAAGTATTCCCTATGGAAACATGTATCTTTTCAATTTTAATATTAGCTTGCACTGAGAATTCTTGATGTAGGTTTAACTTTGGTAACAGTTAAGCCTGCACTCCAGCAAAGTGAGCCATCAGGATGAAGCATATCTCAGCTTTGCTGGCATAACATGACAAGGAAAGTTGGTATTCTCTATAAATCTATTCTGCAAGAATGTTATAGCATTTCACCTGATTAACTTGCCAGTTTGCTGGTACTCAACACAAACTCTTGAGTAAAGAGGGAGGCTATAAGAATATAGTTAGGAACATGTATTTCCCTCAAGAACACAAAAAAAATATAACCCCTCCCTCTCTCCCTCTCTCCCCCCTCTCCTTCCCTTTCCCTGAGGACTTGAACCTGACCCTCTTAATCAGGAGTCGACCATACAATCTCTTAGGGCATGTCCCCCCCCCCACCCACCCAGTGTTGATTTAAGACTTCCTAGAATTTAATGAGCATGTAATTACAAACATGAGTCAGAATGCTAATAAAATGAATTGAGTGAACAGGGACTTCATGGAGGGACATGATGTATGAGTTACCAATGTAAGTCACACTAATGCAATTTGATGACTACAACAACTACAAAAATAACAACAACCAGGGTACTGTTGGTAATGGTCATGACAACATTCCCTGTGATAGCAATCATTGTAAGTTCTGATAATTATAGTTCAATAGTAATCTTCTAAAAGCACATCAAGTACAGCATGCTGATATGAAAATTAAAGAAATTCTGAAAGCTGCAGTTTTCAGAAACATCTTCAAGTTTGTTTTCATTTTCATCCTAAGTTTACAAATATCAAATAGATAAATAAAAGTTGACTTTTCAAACATACTTGAGCAAGTGACAGCCATGTTGCAGTGGCATCTTTGAGAGCCAGGGTGACTTCTCTGTCCCGCAGATAGTCACCAATCTCATGGAACCCACCCAATGATGTTGTCAAGTCAGCTGATGATGACAAGAACTGGGACTGCACTTGTAAGAGTGAAAGGAAACATGATCCCAACATCTAGAAAAGAGGATCAAAATCAGAGTTGACTTTTAGGGTGGTAATTAGAACCTTAATAAAACAAATACACAATAAAATAAAACTTGCTCATGTTGACTGAATGTAAATAGAGACATCAACAATTTATGTATTTGTGCAAAACTCTTCAATAGAACAGTAACTGCATCAAAAAGCAGATTGTAGTTCACTGCAAATTTAAATAAAAGGTAGAAGTATTGACATTCTTGAACATTTTTCAGGTTGGGTCCTCAGTGCGGCAATTAAGAAGATGAAAGCATTCAACCCTGTTGCCTTAAAGATTTGTCTCCTTTACCACAAGTTCAACCCCTTAGCTTCAAGTCTTTTTGCACATGGGAAACTGGTTTCCTCCATAGCTTTTAAAAGTTTAATGTTCATTCAGAATCCTTGTAAACTGGATTAATGGAAAATCAATTTCAATAGGAATGGTCAGTCAGGATATTTATTTCTTTATTGTTGCTATCCAGGGCTTTTTCAGCATTTCATCATCATATAAGAGTCACTTCTCTTAATTTCTGCTGTGGGATATCATACAGCATATTAGATCTACCAACAATTTTCAGACTTATCTCATTAATGAGCATCCAGAGAGAGGAAGGGTTATCAATTTCTATGATTTTCAGAAGAGGGATGTTTTTGCGAGAGGGGAGCTTATCAGAGAGGAAAGTTTTATCAGACACTCACTGATGAGAGACAAAATGCTCGACATCACTCTCCTTCTGACTATTTCCCAGCTGTATATAATATTGTACTCAGTATGTATTTTATGGAAATCTTACAATATTTAGAATGAAAGCTGACATAGGCTTTCCCATACAAGTATAATGCTGAACTAAAATGATACCTAGCCCAAGTGAACAATAATTTCAACTAAATCCTCTCCCAGTTTAAGGGAGGAGATTGGTTGGAAAGCATAATCCAATTCAGAGGGAACTCATTAAAAACATGAAGCTCTAGATAAAGTTAATCTGAGAAGGGGTGGCTTATCAGGGCATTCGGAAAAGATAAACCCAAGAATTTTGGACAGGTTATTCTAATTATGACAGTCAGTGGTCTGCTGCAGATAAAAGTGAGCAGAATCTAAGATATGACAAAAATGTGTCATTCTATTTAGTAGGTCTTTTAGTAGCTGTGATAAACTCTGACTCTGTCAACAAAACTGAACTGTCTAGTATCCATTAACACTGAAAATTTTTTATTTTGTTATTTTTTCTTAGTGAAGGTGTATAATAAAAGGGGGACTCAGGAAATAGCGAGCTTGTTCTGTCTTTCCTTTTCCTGTTTCCTTTATCTCTTCATGATAAAATCAAACATGTTTGTAGCTATCAGTCATCCAACAGACTGCTTGTCAATTTTTCTATCAACCCAAAGCCTCAAGCCACAATTAATAACTGTGCTTAAATAAAGAATAAACCACAGGGGCAAAAAGCCTTCCTGTTTAAAAGGAAACAATGGTAAGTGAAAAGCACTTTCATTGATATATATGCACATAGTGAGTGGCTTAATTAGCAGCCAGGTAGAAGCTTCTGGAACCACATTTTACTGCAAAAGATTTCAATTCTAGATTGGAAAAAGGAATAACAAAAATCGATGTACTTTTGAAGGTATCAATCAATGTCGAAAAAATGCTCTACAGACAATGAATTCTGGTCATTTGAGGTGGTAGGTAAATAGAAACATCGGTTGCTTTTAAATAATCAATTAAAATAAGTATGAACAATTAATCTTGAATTTGTATTCAGAATTATGAAAATTATTTTTCACAGTGTCTATGAATATTTACTTGAGGGCAGAATAACTAAAATTCTATCTTGAAAAAACACTTTTCCAAATTCAAGCATATTTATTTTCAGATTTCAATGATAACGTATGCATAGAGTGTGTAATGACATGAAAAGGGGCAGGTAAAATCTTTGCTTCTTTTTGTAATGAAAATAAACATGCAGACACAATGCAAAAGAAAGGGAGTTGATCTGAATTCATTTTATTTCACTCACACCCATATGACTAAAAACAAACCGAGTGGAGAAAGAAAATTCTCACTATGAAAGAAATTAACTCTTTGCATAAAGTTATGCAACTTGCTAGATGTATCAAATACGCTTTGAAGTGTGAAAATATTTTCAATTCAGCATGAGGGACCTATAAAAAGATCCAAAACTTTGGTTTTCATTTCGCATGGAGGAGTAATCATTTTAAAGACGTCCTGCTCCCCATTATCAAGGGCAAGAATTTAATTTCAAATCAAAAAACCCAAAAAGACGCCATCTGGGTCTCGAAAAAAAATTGTTTTGTCCTCCACAGCTGATGGCCAACCACTCTTGTTTACATTTAACAAATTCCTCGAACATCTCAGCATTGCCCCTCATACTCTCTCTAATGCACTAGTTCCTTGGTCGCTACGAAATTTTTTCAGCATTTGTTCTGTGATTTTCATGTGATGCGCTCTCTGGCTCTCTACAGTCACGGCTATTTTGAGACCATGACAAAATGATTACACGAGGGCATTTGTTGGTCTGGCCTTGTAACAAGAAATCCATTAATCTACTCAAGCAAAGCCAGAAGATATCTCAGTAAAGGTTAAACTTGTTTAAATTCATCCAGTTATAGTAATGTCTAAAGAGTTTATTATGTCAGACAGATATTTATAACTTCATCCAGTTTATTTAAACCGAAGCAAACAATGAAAGTAAACTGAAGATAATTAAAGCAAGTCTTGGTGCGTATGAAATATCCCACCGCATTGCAGATCCTTTCAGCGTGTCTGTAATCAATGAATCAACACATCATGCCGAATCGAAACAGAACATTCTAGAATCAAAAACAACATACCTTAACTCGATTTTCCTCCACTTCTGAAAAGCTTCTGTACAACTTTTCTTCTTCATTCGTAAGTTCTTCAGTTGCAGCACGGAATCTTTGTCTGGTTGTTTTGAGTCGCTTTCCATCACTGTTTACAAAGCTATCGTCTCGCTCTAACCAGTCCAAGTTTTCTTGACACGATTCGTAATTTTGTACGCTTCTCTTATGCGCTTCAATGGCTCGTCTAAGACCAGGCAAAGTGGCTGTGAACTCGCAAAGCGTTCCCAAAATGTGACTACTCGTGATATGAACACTCGACTTATGAGCGACATGATCGATTTCCTCCACGACTTGTTTCAGCTGTTGAGAAATCTCTAAAAGCGGCGTTTCTTTCAAAACCGTTGAAAAGGCTTCCGCTAGTTGGGAACCAGCCCCACAGAAACCTTTTGTAGCGTCTAAATAACCAGTTATCAGCTTGTCTATCGCCCCGACGTTCGCCTCAAGAGCTTCGACGTTGGCCAGTAGTCTTTGATGATAAGTGACACTTACGTCGTCCTTACTTTCTTTCCATTGATGGTAAGACAAATAGCGTACGCTGTCCATATTTCACACTAAAACAAGCTTGGCAAAAACAAAACATGAGTATACGACGATAAAGCAGAATCGGAAACCCGCAGTTTCTTCCGATCGCAACATAGGCGTTCAACGAAGTTCTCACTTCCTTCAAACATCTGAGTTATTATGAACACGCGAGGTTTCAGCGGAGTGAATATGCACATGCGTAGTTCTTTCCAAGAGGAATATGGCGGTGGTCTCTACAGAAGTGAAGGCATGGTGTATCCAAGAATTGTTGAAAATTAGGGACGTCGACGACGATTTGACGGGGTATATTTTGTCACTGAATACTGCTAGTGAATTAGAATCATATTTGCGAAGTTTTCTAGATCTCAAGAATCGCGAACATCAGCAAATTCTGGTGGAATTTTCCAATGTAGTGAGGACGGAAACTACGAACACCTCAGATGCTAGCGATACTTTTTCTTACTCCCAAAAATGTTCAGGTGAACTTGGTAATGGGTTAAATGATCCACCTATTTATCCAGGAATACAAACAAAGAAGAAAGCCCCTAAGTTTGTGCCACTGTATGGGGTAGAGGGACAATCGCGCACTTCGGTTCTCCTTCCCGGAAGACACCCATGCGAGTGCTTGGCTCAGAAACACGATCTGGTCAATAACTGCACAGATTGTGGACGGATTGTCTGTAAACAGGAAGGCTCAGGGCCTTGCTTTTTCTGTGGAGCTTTGGTTTGCACTAAAGAAGAGCAAGAGATACTGGCGCGGAATTCAAAAAAGAGTCACAAACTCCACGAGAAACTACTGAAGCAAGGGATAGAAAACGACTCACGTACAAAATTAGGCGAAGGCCTACAAAGAGCAATTGCTCATAAGAACAGACTCATAGAGTATGACAAGAGTGGTGTCCGTCGTACCAAAGTGATTGATGATGAGTGTGATTACTTTGCTAGTGACACCAATAAGTGGCTGTCTCAAGAGGAGAGGGAAGTTTTAAAGAAGAAAGAAAACGAAGTGCGGGAAAAGCGTTATGGTTCACGCAGGCAGATGAAGGTTACCCTTGACTTTGCAGGTCGAAAGGTTGTTGATGAGAATGAACCTGAGGTTGATTTTGATGCTGATTCATCCGTTCTTGCTTCAGGTTATTATAATTTGGATAAAAATACCAAACCACCAAGAGTTGCTAATCTTAATTTTCCAAATGTCTCTTCTTTAAAATTTGTTTCCTCTGAGAAAGGAGGTAACAAAGTACCTAACTATGAGGGTGTTTTGGAGAAAAAACATGGTAAAGAAGTTTTACGTATCCAGGATAAGGAATTCCAAGAGATGAGTGATACAGGTGCTTGCTTAAGTATGCATCAGCCTTGGGCATCACTCCTTGTGTTGGGTATCAAGAGAGTAGAAGGCCGCACATGGTACAGTGCTCATCGTGGACGTCTATGGATTGCAGCAGCTGCTAAGCAGCCAACTCAACAGGAAATTGCAGCAGTGGAGAGTATGTATAAGACTCTGTATGGGAATGAAAATGTTGTATTCCCTGAGCATTACCCTGTATCATGTCTACTTGGGTGCGTAGACCTCGTGGAATGTCTTGCCCAAGAAGATTACAAGGAAGAGTTCCCTGAGGGTGAGTCTGAATCTCCTTATGTCTTTATCTGTGAGAATCCTCAGCAACTGGCTTTAAAATTTCCTGTTAAGGGACAGCATAAAATATGGAAACTTGACCCTGCAATCCACAAGGCAGCCAAGGGAGGCCTTAGAAAATCAGCTTGAAAGAACATCTGAAAGTATCCATGTCATAATCTTGATACAAGTAATGCAATGAACTTAGGACTAATAGTTGAATGGTGTTGGTATAGTGAGCAATTAAGAATATTCTTAAAGAACACTTCTGTTAGTAGAAGTGACAAATTGATAACTGAATGGGAAGTCATAATCTGTGTCCAGTAATAAAACAAGTGATGACATCACAAAAGTCACCTTAACTCTGATGATGATTACTAGTCAGGTTGTCAATAAAATGTCATTCACTGTTAACTGCCATAGTAATTTCCAGGGTCAGGTTGTTCAAATCTGGGTTAAAATAATGCAGGGTTAGTTTGAAATTTGATTTCAGATCTGAAAGTTTGAAAAGAAAATTCAATTTAATTCTTTTTGTCTACAATTTGATAAAAGGCTTTTGAACATAGAAATAAAGAAACCCAAATCAAAATTGAACCCAGGGTAAGTGCTAATGTGCCTTCAAACATTCTGGAGTACTTTCACCAAAATGATTAGACTGCACAATGTGGAGTATTTTGTTTATCTGTTTGTGGTCATGCCTACTTCAGGGTTAGGATCAACAAACATTGACCAAAATTACTGGTATCATATTAGAGCAAAGATTACCAAATTAAAGATCAAACTTGATTCACTCATCTAATGTCACTTAGAATGTATTTTGTTGAATTCATGTCATAGTTGAAATTAATGGCATTTTAGTTGAAAAAAAATTCTTTAGTTTCTCCTTTCCCTGTCCTATTTGACAATTGCAGGTTAAATTTTAATTACTGTTTGGGTAATCTAAATGCAACAGAAAGTATATTGTTAAAGAGAAGTGTAAACAATACTGCAACAAGTTGGTGTTAAAGGTTGCGTAAGGTTGAAATATTACTGTATTTCTTCATTTCTATCTGGTGGATTCATGCACACCAAATTGAGAATTATTTTTTATTAAATCATTTGGTAGATCTGTTACCACCTTGTAACTGGTAGATACTAATTAAATTAATAAATTAAAACAGTTTGTTTCTTGTTTGAGGAATTATCACAGTGAAAGAGATGATTAAAGACTGTTGAAAGAATTGTTTCTTTTTGTAATTGATTATTAACAAGAAACAGGGTCACACATTTTTTTAAAGCATTGATCAAAAGAAAGGAAAAGAAGCTTAGACCTTGTGATTTCCAGGGAGGAATGAGATTTTTTCTGTGGCTCACATTTCTTAAAATGTCATAAAACATTTCTATCTTTAACAGTCAAACAGGAAAATCATAATTTACCACCTTTATTTATCTGTGAATACTGTAGCCATTGCAGGTGGTACCGGTTGTCATATGGTACATATGCATGTGCCTTTCTCCAAGGTGGATATTCTATGAGTTGCATGGTTACCCAAGAATTGACCATGATGGATGAATGATGACTTTATCTATACATGCTCAAAAAAATTAGTAAGGAAAACATGTTTGAAACTCACGGGCTCTACTTGTTTCTCTATTTTTCAATCAGGGAAACTGTTCAGAAGACCATTTATTACTATACCCATTCACTTGCCAATTAATTTTCCCTTTGTTTAGCCCCTCAAAGTTGTCCCAAACAAGCAGGCTAAGATTTGTACAACGTGTCAAAGCTTAAACTTGCGACCAAGTGGCACATGATTTGGCAAAGTTGAGGTCTGCTGTTGCAACTTGCAAGTTGTAAAATAATGGAATGAACAAGCCATTTAAGCCCTGGTACAGTAAGAGCCAAATTGCAACTAGGATTGCCAGCTCAGAGAAACTTGAGGATTTATTGATAAGTGTCTTTGCACAAGTGTAGATGGCACATCCCTCAACCCTCCAAAAAAATGGCTCCAAGTTTGCCTTCTGTTTGAATTCTTTTGCTAGATACTCCAAGATGACAGTTCAAGTTATTAAAGCTACCGGTATTAAAAAAAGTTTAGTGCAGAAAAAAAAAAATTAGCCAAAGCCAAAACATATATTTTTTTACTTCAACATCTAGTCTATCCTTTCATTTGCAACAAGATTGCTCTGTTCTCCTTATATCACATGACATGACGTCTAGCAATGGTCGTACTTGACGAGCTCTTCATACTGCTCAATACAACTTTGAAGTTAAAAAAAAAGAGACAACCACTAGCAACACGTTTCCACTTTAGTGCACCTTTATTACACCTGGACAGTCTGCCAACTGAGGCATAACGAAACTGGAGAAACGCACAATAGGTAGATATACCTACCGATATATTGAAATAATACACATATCTACATTTCTGAACATATATCTACTCTCTTTCGCAGCCAGAGGTCATGGGTTCAACTCTCGTACTGGCCTGAATCAGTTTTTCAGACTTTGCCTTCACTACTTCTTAGGAAGTGTTTATTCTTGCAAAGATCATTCACATATTCATTTATTAATCCGCAGTTCCCATCTACGATTTTATATTCTTCATAGTCATATTTGTGCTTACTGTTGAGCATAGACGTCAACAACCAAATGTGCAGGCAAGATGGCTCGATATATATTGCTCAAGATCTCTAATTGTGTCTCACGGACAGAGATAAAGTCGAAGACCATAATAAGGCACCCCAAAAAAAAGCAAGCTTGGTCAAGAGAGCAATCGTGTGAGGGCAACCTGAGGTCCGGTTAAAAACACAGATTCGCTTTATCCTACTCGCTCGCGGAGCAAGCTGTGTATCAAATTTTGTCGCGATTCAAAATGATTTTGTGACAAACTTGTAATCTAAAGAAGGGCTCTGAACTCCCTCTATCATTTACAATCTCCCTATCTACATCAGTCATTAAATATTTATTTTCTGCATCATTTAAGGTTTTTCTGGGAAATCTCCTAATAATTCTTTGTAAAAACTATTTGGTTCCCAGCTTAAAGTTTTAATCGGTTGATATCCTCACTTCTGAAATCGACCCTGAGAAAAAATAAACACATGAATAAGTTCTAATGGAAAGACCAATCAAATGCCATGAACCCCTCTTTTCCCGCTCCACCCCACAAGACCTTCCTCGCTGTAAAGTGTACAATTCATCCTAACAATACCTTGTCAACAGATTTTCCATTTTCTGACATGGTGAAAAGGACAGCAAGAAAAGAAAAGCCGAAAGACCAATAGCGAGGCAGTAACTAACAGTGGAACAAACACTGAAGAAAAGATGGGAATGTTCACAGACCTTCTAATTTCTCTCTTCTTAGATAATAGCCCAAAGCGCGAGCAACGTTAGGACTGAAGTGGACTTTAAGAACGCAAAGGCAGGGGAGTGTAAGTATTTTATCTTTCCCGGTTCATGGTCACTCTCTCACTCCACACTTGTTCTCGCACGCTCGCTTTGCGCTTAATGTCAGTCGCTTCCGCTCTAGAGTTCCCCTCATAATGGCAAAAAACGGAAAAAATGGAAGTCGAACTTTCAGTTACTACGCTATAGCCACAGTAGCCAAAGTGTACTCTCCTGTCCCAACAATTTTACTTGCAGCAGCCTTTAAAAGATCCTGTTTCGTTTTACTTCAACAAAGACCCCTATTTTCGCATTTGGTAAGGGGACACCTCCAGTTGTGAAAACATGCGCTGCTCTCCGAGCTTATCAAAGCATAATCTGGAAGAAAAAGGATTGAGGGAATCAGAATATAGTAGTTCACCTTAATGACAGGACTTGTCTGACTTCCGTAGGAGTAAGTCTCCAAGTCATTGGTCCTGAATTAGGACCCCAGTAATCCATAATCTCGCCCACCTGTTAAACAGAAAATAGAGGACTGTAAGGGTAAAATCGCTTCTTCATCGACCGGATTATACTTAGATAATTTTTACAGAAATGCAAATTCGAGCAGTTGAGAGTTTTGATTGTTGATAGGACTGTTTATTTGCATTGTTAATAGATGCTTGGACAATTTCCAGACATTTCTGTAGCATTGAAAGCCTCATAGCTCATCAGAGCAGTGAATGGTCGGAAGACACTTTGAGCATGCTCAAAGTCTGAATGTTTCTGCCTTCCAAGCTATAAATATGTAAGCTCACAGTTTTTCTGTGCGCAAACAAATGCATAAGCATACTTTCGTGCTGAATGGTGGCTATTGTTTACAGAATCACGATTACCTTCTCTAAGTTGAGGACAGTGGCAATCTGTGTGAGTCTGGCAAACTTGTCTCGTATGGTCCACTGAGTGACAGCTGTCAGGTAACCGACCAGCGAACGTAGTTCCTTGTCGAACTGAAGACCACCCAGCTGATTTGAAACAATGAAATAGAGGATCAGATTCATTTAATGGATGTTGAAGTCAATAAGAGTTAGTAACACATCTTGTAATATTTATCTCTTTTAAAGTACAATTCATTCTCCAAAACTGTCAAGTATCTTGAGACAAAGCTACCGTCAAGTACACGTCAAGTTCAAATTTGCACCCACTGTTCCTTGCCCCGTATAAATTCAGTTGACAACGGGTAACAGATCACTTCAACAAGTTGCGGGACAAAATGTTATAAGAAGAAGGTAAAATAATTCGTAAATCAAAAAGACACCTCAAACTAGGTTTCCTGTCGCCTAAAAATCATAAAAAGGGATTTTACGGAGTGAACCGTCGCATCAGTTAAAATTACAGTTGCACATTCCAATTGCCATTTATACATTGACTAGGCTCAGCCTCTAGCCGTTGAAGTTTCGCTGTGCGATGAGGATCGCGGGCACACCAAAACCACCAGCAACTAGAGATAAGGCCTGTCTATTGACTGCAAAACGTACTCTGTTAAAACTCGCTTTCATGACCGAGGTTTCCAGTTGAGTTGTTATTTCAGTGGCTGCCATGCTTACTAAGGAGTCATAGTTGGAAGATGTCAGTGGAACCTGCGCAACAAAATGGCATATTGGTTTATAATTTCTCTATCGGAGCTCAAGCATTTTTCACGTGCGAGGTATTCAGCGGCCTGACGGTTAGCCTCTCTACAACCAAAACGATACCAGGGAACTGGGAGAGAAACTTGACGGGGGTGGGGGCGGGGAGAGGTGAGTAATCTGTGATGGACTAACATACCACCAATGAAAAAAGGAATACACCGGGTCTGCGAGTGAAACCAAGATAAATTCAGACTAAGTGGATCACTCTGTTCGTTTTCTTAATTCACTTTTTCCGTTACCCAAAGAGTTTCATGTACTAACGTACAATCAGTAATAACGAAAGATCATGACAATAACAACTCTTAAGTTTGACATTTTACGGCAGTGTGATTAAAACCACAAGCTCTAATCAACACATAGAGACGTTATTTTGGCCGCTGTTATGATGTAAACCTTCCTCTAAATAAAAACCAGCCAAAGAATGGCAAAACTTCTCACCACACAAGTTGAGAAAGACAAAGAGAAAAAGAATTGAATGGGTTAATTTTATGGTTTTAATAATTGTATTAGCCATGATTACCTTTGGAACTAACACACAGAAATAACCAACATCTTCTTGCAGACTTCATTGTTACTCAAAGATCTGTAAGCTAACGGGGCCGCTCGTCAAGCGGTGCAGACATACCTTAAAAGATGTTAAGATCGAGTCTAAACTTGTGATAAAATTCTGAACAAATGGATCATTCACTTCATAGAAAGCAAATTCCTCCTGCATTGAAAAAAGAAATAATAATAATAAAACAAGAGTTCAACAGACAAAGCAGAAATTCGTAAACGTCATGTACCATAACTTAGTTGTCTTAGCTGATAACTGGAGCGTTGGATAAAGCGTCTGAGAACATCTTTGAGCGGATTAGCAATTCCTATATGGTTCATCCACCGTAATTAACTTAACTTTCAGTGGCTATTCAAAGAAGTCAGTCAATGAAAAGTTTTATATAGTCACACTTGTCCCAGACTGAGCAAGCCCTTACCTCTCGACAGGAGACACAGAAACTAAAACTTTACAGAGACAGACCTTTAAATAAAACTTGACGTAATGTTAGTAACCCTGCCCCCTTACTTCGCACAGGGTAACCAACCACTGTGAAACGAAAGTATAGTTAGTGAACTTAACCAAATATATATAGAGAGAGGTCTGGGTTCGAACCGTAACTGGTTCTTTACATTTTGTTGTTGGGCAAGATCGTTACTTTCACAGTGCCTCTGTTTACCTCTCTGACTGTTTTGGTAAATGATCGCGGATGTTAGATAGAATTACTAATTGGATCTTTAAAAGCGACACAAGTTAAGAAACAAAAGAAAAATATAGCTGACAGGTGAATTAATTTTTAATTGAATTCGAGGGAAATGATTACCTCAGATATGTTGTGGCTTGTTGAATTGAATCCATCGATGAGGGGTTTTAATCTTGGTATGACAGCAGTAGAACATAACTGATATAGTCCACCCTGCAAATCATACAAATGGTAAAAAAACATTTTTAAAGGATATGCTATTAACCAATGATGATAAATGTAAAGAGAATATTTAACCCCACGGACAAGATAGTACAAGGAAATTTCCATACTTGAAGTAAATCCTTGAAAATATTTGATGTGTTCATCAAGTCTGAAAGACAGCTCTGAGAAGATAAGAAAAAACATAATTAGAAAATTGCAAATTTTTTTTTATTTTTTTTTAAAGTCCAATAAGTCATAGCAGGAATTTTGTTGATGGATAAGATTGAAACCCTTCTTTCTTCTAATAGTCCTTTCATCTAAAACAAATAAGTCAATTTTTTGTTGTTGTTTTTCTAGCTTTTGCTTATTGTTTCGTTTATTTGTTTGATATTACGAGCTACTTAGAATTAATGCGACTTTTGTCATTTGCCATCTCCGTGGTAGAGACTAATGGAGTCGCTTGAAGTTTCTTAAATGAACATGTTGATGTACTCTACCCTCCCCTGTAAGTAGACAAAAAGGTAAAGTTAAAACATATCCAGTTGCAGTTTTATATGCCTTATGAAGCCAGTCGATTATGGTCCATGTCAAGAATGGTAAAAAACGTGAACACTTGCCTCTAATTTCAGTTTAGCAGCATCTCCAAAAGCCAAGTTCCTGTCACATTCAATCTGGGAGGCAAATTATTTGGAAACACTTAAAAATCAATCCACGACGCTTCAACGCAACAAGATGAAAGTAATTTGGATGTGTTGCCTGTGGCACTGGCCTCATGGTCAGTGGAACAGACCGGGTCGAGAGGTTTGGGTTCGAGACCAGGCTGGGTCAACGTGTTGTGTTCTTAGGCAAAACACTTCACTCTCACAGGAGTATACATGGGTACTGGCTAACTGTCAGGAAAGCCTAGTAACATCCCATCTAGAGGGAGTGATAACACTCCTACTATGGAAACCGGGATAAGCTCCAGCTGAGTGGGTCAACAGGCTTGAGTAGAGACTACTTTTTGTTGGCATGCCGATCGCTGGTCCTTCGTGGTCCCCCTCTCCACCCAAGCAATCATATCAGGTTATCCTTAAATTTAAAAGAACTGTTTGTACTAATGTGGAGTATGAACGCAAAAGGAGTAGTAATAAATGCGTCATAAGCTTTTTTTATCTCAGGGTAGCTCAATAAAGGCCAAATTCCTGTTTCCAAGACCGAGATAAAAATGAAGCCCATAACAATGCATAAAAAACGAGGCAAACATTCCATCATCTTGACCAAACAAGCTTACATCAAAACGGGCACAACCGAGAGGGCTGTATTTGCTTGGGTGGTTAAATCACAGGATTCGCTTCATTCAGCCAACTCGTCACAAAATAATATACATAAAAGTTTGGGATTTTGAATCTTGCGTTCATATCATCAGTACTATCTGATATACAAGTAAGAGTAAATTCTAAGCTCTCGGCGACGATGACAACATTCAACGGATGACCATCACCATTATATATTTCAGTCATTATTTACCTCAAGATCTTTCTTTAGCTTCTGAATGTTGTTGCTACTAACTTCAAGGTTGTTAAGTGTCACCTGAAATTCAGCATAAAATATTTGTTAGCAGCTTTAGTCTTAGGAGAAAGGATGAATTCATACGTCCACTGCTCACAGCCTCACTTGGAGAAAACAATCATTGATTAAGAAATAGCAATGTCTGTACAGAAAAGAAAGACTCATTTTTGCCTAGCACGTGGAACAAAGAAAAAACTTTAAGGCCCGCCCTGAGGAATGGAGTTTAGGTTCTTTTGATTTGGCCTTACGAAGAAGATCGCTAGATGAGCGTCCATCGCATCAGCTTTAATTCAAAAGCTAAATTCATATTTGATTTCAGCGTCCTAAAAACATTTTAAGATTAAAAATTGCTAGAATCAGCGTTGGCTGAAAATTATTAATTCAAAATACTAAAAAACAACAATAGCTGAGTCTAAAAATTCAAACAAAGAGTTTCACATAAAATTTATTTAAATTGGGCTTACGTTTCTTGATGGGGAAATTTGATAAAACCGTAATTACAACACTTCTAAAAAATGTCAAAATTTTTGTGCTCAGCAATGATTGATAGAGGATGATTGTCACATGAAAAATTGTAAACAACACACACCTTTATTAACAATTGACGGCTTACAGATCTTGCCCCAATTTCTTGCTTTGCAAAGTAGGAAGGCCTTCCCGCATTAGCATTGCCAGATGCTTTTTCAGCCGTTGTGGAGTCTTTCTGCCCACGTTCAAGCTGCAGCTTTCCTTTTTTTTTCAGCAACATTCCAGATAAATCAAGACTGGAATACAAAAGAACAATTATCAGTACAAGGACATCTTAGAATACTCATTTGTGGAACTCGAATTTCAGTGGAGCAATAAGGAAATAAATTTTGTGTTATTGCTCCAACACACTTTGAATATTTAGAGTCTTAGACAACTTGATGGTAAGAACAAATCTAAGCCATGAAAAATTCTACAACTATTACAAAATTTACACAAGGAATTTTTTTAAGATATCAAAAGCAACTCTCTACATAAAAAAGTAAAAAAGTAAAAAAAGTAAAGATCACAAGTTTGTGAATTTGAGGATTTGAAATTTTTGACCAGTTTGAATTGCTTGATATAAATTACAATCATCCAACCTTAAAATTGTAACAATAGAACAACATAAAAATAAAGAGATCACACAGTACGATTGCAACATTGCTATATCTATACTGTTATTGTGCTTTCATAGAGGTACTATAAATACCTTCCAGATGGAAAACCTGCTTTCAATCGGGCAGTTAGCACATCACGGTAATCAGATGACAGAAGAGCACTAGAGAAATTAAAGATAGTTGATATGGAAATTCTTAATTGAGTCAAACAATAAGAGATGATAAGTCAGAAAAACGATATAATTTTAAATTTATCTCCCAGAGGTGACTAACAAGTAACTTCTCCCTATAATATCCAAACATTATCTGGCAAACAGGTATTGAGAATTCTCAAATTTATCAGGTAAAAGTTGCTATCTTGATCTAACACAAAATTCCTATAACTACTTTATAGGAAAATGTAAAGTAGCAAGAAGGTAGAATTAACAATCAGATCTTAGGAGTTAAAGAATTAAAACTTGACTCAGCAAGTTGGCCTAAGACACATAACCACATGCTGCAGTTCTTGTACCACTGCTCCTCAAAAATGCCTTCTGATTCACCTAGTAGTTATCAAAACAGATCGACAAGCGATGGAAAAGAAAAAAAAGTGACACTTTGATTCGTCATTTCCATGTGGCCAGGTTGCTGAGCATGATTTAAATGACCATGTCCATGGTAAAATTTAAAGGGCATTTGAATGAAATTTTTGATAGATTAGGTTTCTTCTCAGGAATCTTAAAAAGTGTTGGTATCAAAAATTGGTTTCTGGAGCACTCTTTCACAATTAAGTTCATTACCATGCGTGATTCAGCATTGCACATGTTCCATCCACACTAGAGCTGGATAAGGCTCGTCTGAATGAATGAAAACAATAACACAGGAAGTAGATAATCAACCTTCTGAGGAGTTAACAGTTTCTCCTAAATTTAGTGGTCCACGAGACCAGAGCTTACCCTTAACATAAAGCGACATGGAATATTTTTATAGATGTTGGCATGTTTTGCATTGCAGATTAACACAAATTTTTCAGGTATCCCTTATCAAACTTAGCCTTAGTTCTTTAATACTAAAAAAATAATATAATAAAAAACAATATCGATAAATAATGAGCTATTAAATCAATAATCAAAACAAAACACACAAGATGCTCCAAAGACATCTTAAAACTGGTCTTTCACTGTCCATAAAATTATTCATGAAAACTATTCACAGCTTGAAATCACACATTTTAAGAAGACCTTTTGGAAGTTAATATTCAGGATTATAACCAAAAACAAACCTGACAGCCTTTTGTACAATAAAGAAGACATCATCTACCATGCTGGAAGTGACAGCTTCATCATCACCACCCTCTGTGATGTCCATCTTTACAGCCTGAAAATTACAACTTGAATTAACAAAAACACTAAACATAACACTTATAACCATCACAACTCCAAAAATATTGGACCTGGACAAACTTTTTCCCAGAAATATTACAAAACCAGTATGTCTAAATTTTTAATTTCAGAAGCAACACAAGACTAACCTTCATTACTGTTTCTCTCATAAAGTACTCTTCCATGTAGATGTAGTTTCCTATAAGCTCCTGCAAAATAAGTGAATCATTTGAAGAATTTATGAGCCAATAGGAAACTAAGTAAACAGAAAATCAGAGTTGTGATCTAGGGAAGAGAGGCTCTTCATATGTGTGGAGACATAGTAATGAAGACTCTGACGACTCAGTTTTGAAACCCACCCTTTCATCTTTTTGTAGCCACATAGAGATCAGTACTCCAAGGTGAAAACAAACACCATGAAGATAAAAGTCAAAACCCAAATCTGAACAACTTGGTAAAAAAATGTGATGTACCGGTATATAACAACACTAAAATAATGTAAATTCAGGTTTCCATTTATAACTTTTTTGGTGTATTTAAAAGATGTTCGATGGAAAGATTTCTCCTGTGTTACCTGCATTCTTCTGTTTAGTTCACAATTGGCAATAACTTTGTCTTGAATTCCTAATAGTTCTTACAGAGAGAATCAAAAGCTTCTATGATGATTATAATCTTAGTGATGTTAATGTTATATTGTAAATATAGAGGAATGCCACTGATGAAAAAGAGTTCAAAGTGTTTTTAATATGGTGTATTTTTCAGTTTTCTTAACCTCAGTATGTATATAATTTTGCATGATCATTAAATTAAAAAGGAAAATACTAGACAACTGAAAGAAAAGAGAATGAATAGAAAAAGGAAAAAAGGAAAGAGGGGGAAAAACCAAATTAACACTACCAGTCCCAAACTCTCATTAATTTAGTAATTTCTTAGGGTTCTGTCATACAATTCTTACTATGCTAATTCAGAGAATTTAGTATTGGATCAACTAATTATCCCCTAGCTGGTACTTTTCTCATTTTCATCATTGTCTACTTAATATTGTATAGATGTTGTAAGGAGAAATTCTGTCTTGGTCACTCATAAGAGTTAAGGGTTATAAACAAAGAGAGAAACAAACACATCTCCCATGGATATCTGTAAATTTCTAACACAGACTACATACTTTTAACTTACAGCTAAGTTAGGGGTGACAAAAACACAATTGTGCATTGTGTAAAACTTATCCATATTGCTACCTTCTGTTTTTTCCTCTTCAGGAACGTTTGCCATGTCATCCTATAGTAAAAAAAAAGTTTTAAGATCAAAGACAAAACATAATTTAGATTAAAATCATCAATTACTTCTACAATGTTAAAGGAACTTTTTGTATGTGGTAAAAATGGCAGAAAGAACTGAAACTGTGAGACTTGTGCATTACAGCTCTCTTTTTGTCCTTTATGCAAAGAGGTTGCTTAAAATACGAAATAAAATTAGAAGAGTACAAATTCTTACTGCAATCCTTTTCTCCAAGAACTGTAAATACATCTCAGCTCTTGCATTCATTACAACAACTTCACGCAAGACAACATCAAGCTCTCTGGGGTCATACCTAAGAAACACAACAAGGTTATGAACACTTCATTCTGTTCCCTCTTTCCCGTTTCCACTGTTCCCTCTACTTATGGTGCCAACAAGAATATTTTGTTTGACAATCAGGAGCTTCTTAAATTGGTGATCATTTCCTTTATTCTCATAGCCTTTACATTTGATTTAAGGGTGATACAGTAAGGAGAAATGAGATGCTGAACACTCCTAGGAATTAAAAAATTAAACAAGCCAAAACATATTCCTGCCTTAACAATGATTTCAAATTGACTTGTTTTTTTTCTAATTATCATAATATCATAATACCATAAATTACTTAGAGCTAATCTCCATGACAAGAAATTATTTCCTAACCTTGGCAAACACACAGCAGGGACATAATATATTTTTCAATATCCTTGTCAACTAGATCCAAATCAGAAGTAATGGATCCTAATTTCCCTCCAATTATTGATCCAAGTAACCCAGGATGCCACTTCCAAGTCTGCTTCACCTCATGATAATTATTTCTAGTCATTAAAAACCTGATGCAAACTTACCTATCAAGGCTACCAGAAGAACCTCTGAAGGTTTGACTGCCCTGAACAGATTTGAACTAAAGAGAAAAAGAGTGAAATTCTATGCACACAAGGCACTTCATGCAGGTTTTTCAGTCTGCACTTGTCACAATATTTATATGTAGTCATTCTGTTAGATCTGCCAATGTCTCACTAAAAGTGTAGATACATTGGCCTTCTGTGCTGGATACATTGTTCTTTGTCAACAAACTAGATACTGAACAGATCAAAAAAACTGTTGAAGGAGATTGAAATTTTCTAAAAAGCATAAAGAATGAGCTGCACACCATGTGATCATAATGCAATTATAATTGTTGTTAAATCTGCCCCTCACGCAATGTTATGAGTTTGCTTGAAAACAAGGAATTTTCGTAACAGAAGCATATAACCTAGGTCATCAGCTTCTAGGAAAAATTATAATAATTCATTGAAATAAAATTCTTCCATTTTATGGGTACCTTTTCTGTGAACTGTCTCTTTTTCATAAACTGGTCAACAACTTGATTGACTTGCTTGTCACACTCAGCCTAAGTGCAAGTATTCATAAAAAAAAGTGCTGCATTTAATTAACAAAATAATTTAATGGTACTGTATCACAATGATCATCATCCATAATCCTTGGCAATATTCTCAGCTGAGAATACCTCTAACAAAACAGATAAAAATACAATTACTTAAAAAAAAACCTCTGGGGCTTACAGTAACCCAACCCCCCCTCCTCTGCCTTTTGCATTGCTGATAAGACCCCTGGGAGCATTAAGAAAAGCCACAGTTGGTTTGAATATTGGTTAGTAAGGGGGATTAGGGTCTTGGAACCCTCTATTAGTAAATAATTTTCTACAATATATAAAGCAGATATTGCTTACAAGCAATTGGGCATGATATTGTAAGCTGTTAGCAGATATTTCCAGCAAAAGGATTACATCAATTCCAGTCTAGTCTTACCAAAAGAGCTTTGAAAATGTCTAATGCAAACTAAATCTATCAAATTTCTTTTTGAAGGGGGAAGGAAGGGGCCACTGAAACTGACATTAAAAAAAAAAGAAAAAGAAAAGCATTTTACTGAGCTGAAGCAAAAATTTAAAGAGGCAATGATGTAAGCAGCTCTTGATAGAGAAAATAAACACTGACTACAAATTCCAGCAGTGTCTTTAAAGAGTGTAACTCCAGAAGAAATAGAAATATAAAATTAAATTGATCAAAAATCTAAATATAACTGGACAATGAACCATGTACCTGCATAGCTTGTAGCAGAATGAACATTTTGCCAGGACCTGCCAAAAGAGATAATTAAATTGGTGAATTTACAGTGTGGCCCAGAAAGAAGGAAAATTTTGGCAACACAGTCTCTTCACTGAGTTAATGGTATATCTGGTAGGTACAACCAGCTTGTGGCTATATCATGTAAAAGCTCAAGTACACATTCCCACAAAGGAGGAGCATCTAAAAGGCTTTTAGAGGTAAATTAAATTAAAGTTGCCACAGGGCAGCCTCACCATAGTAAGTCTCTACAAATGGCTGATGTTCTTCCACCATACGTGCAATGTTCTCAAACAGTAAAGTGAGAGTATTTGCAAACACAACATTGACATGACGATCTAAAAAGAATTAGAGTAAAATATCTAAGTAATTAAGCTCTTCCATGTAAGAACTAATGATGACTTTGGCCCAGCCTATAAAAATGTAAGCTACTACCAACAACAACAATCCTATTAAAGTCACAACACTCATCTGGACAATTATCATGCCAGAATAAATGTTACAGTCAGGCTCCAACTAAGGACTGAATACAACTGCACATCAAAAGCTTAGAGCTATTTAAAAGTACAACAATACTGTCATAACCAAGGTACAGTAATTCACAGTATAACCTATATGTAAGTTAGAATAAATAAAGAAAATGTTACATGAAAAGAAAAATTACCTTGCTATTAAAAATTACTAGAAACAACATTCTCACCTGAGTCTTTGACAGCAACAGCATTGTCCAAATTCTTCTGGCACTGGGCAGCAATCTAAAGCAGGAAAAAGATTTCACATCTTTTTATTGAAAACAACTTTAGGTCAAAGTTATTTCAAACTTGCTGGTAATTTCCTATCTTTAAAGACTACAGTTATTTTTCTAATACAAAGGAGAAAACACCTCACACTAGTTTAGGGCCATTTTGATTAGTCTACATATACTCACTGTGTATATTTTCATTTTTTTTTTATCAAAAGTTGCCTGCATCAGACATAGATCATTTCATCAATAGGGTTTACCATTACGATAATGATGGCTGACTCCATTTGATAACATATATCAACACATTTAGAAGAATCCTAACTCTCAAAAAGCCCTAAAATTAAAAAATATTTTATTCCCCTTTGATAGACTAAGACACAAAGGTTGAATTAACAGGGAGAAACTACATCTCCCTCATGTTTTTTTTTTTTTTTTGCCATGTTGTACTTATTTCACTCATACCAATTTTTTTATGATACCTTGCTTTTATTAACAGTAACAAAGCCAGTTCAACTGATCTGTTGTTTTGATCCACTATAATCATACAATGACCATTCATTCTTACATGTAAGCCTAATAAGCCCATTTTTCTGAGTATCCAAGAAGTAACCAAGTAACCATACACATGGACAAACCTGTGTGCACAAATATCTTGCATACTTTTCAAGTCCAACTTGATGTTGACCCAGTAAAGGAAAAATTTTGAAAAACCTTGAAAAAAGATTAATCATGATCAGAATACATTTTTAAATTAATTTCAATATTACTAGGTGTTTAACCTGATCTCACAAAAAACACAATAATTATACAGAAATACCAATCAAAACTACCAGATACAAAGACACAAAATTTACATCAAATTAAGAAAATAATAATCATGGCAGCAGAACAAACAAGTATATCCAAAGTAGAAAAACATGGTGACAAACTACAACGCCATACAATATAATGCATGTCTTCTGTACCTTTCTACAGAGCCCCTGTCACCATTTTGTATAGCAGCCTCAAACTTGTCATTTACAATTCTTTTCAGTTTTGTCTCTGCTTCATGTAGTAACACAAAGGCCCCTGCTAAGTCAGAACCTACAGGAAAATAAAATCACGAGCAAGTTATCAGCTATTGCTGCACAAAGATACCTGATGGAGGGCTGCAGGCTCAGTTAGGTTGTGTGAGAAGCATATAAAGTAGGTTAATGTTTATTAATAGAAATGTCCTAACTATTGCTGTCATTTTCAAAACAAAATCTTAACTATTGAATTTTAAATACTAATCTACTTAAACATATTGGACCTAACAGAAAATATTTGGCATGAGGTCAAGATATCTGGACCAAGCAAGCAAGGTCCACATGTCATGACAGAGGGTCAAAAACAGTTTCCCGTCCAGACCAACCTGACTCTGTCAGTCACTGAGGCTTGACTAGATCACCGCGTTGTGTTCTCAGGCAAGACACAAAACTCTACAAACACAAACCTCTACTTTTACAGTTACTGTAGTTTATTGATTCCAGCAAATTAAACAGCCAGGCAAACCTGACAAAAGTTTAGAGATCCCCTATCATCCCCTTTAGGGGAAATAACACTGTTGCTGCATATTTCATACTTGATATGAACTCTTAAAAAGTTCCAGCAGTAACGATAAAAATGCAGCAATTATGGTACTATTTTCACCTTCTTTTGAGTCCTCTGCTAAGTCTCTGAGGACTTGTTCATCCAGGTTGAGATATCTGTGAATATGTGCTGCAGCCTGAAGAAACAAATCATTACACATTACACTGACTGCCAACAAAAATAGTTTAAGTCAGTATCATTGTAATGATAGTAATAATTTCTGATTTAGCATAAATTATTCTAAATATTTAAGTCACTTAATAACATCCTGATATTTACAACAGCAAGAACAATCTATAGTAGTTATTGTGGTGTGCCATTTCTTACTTCCAGAGAAAGGTTTACTTAACATCGGTATCATAAGCCACTCTGGATGATAACACAGCTTAGTTGGATTTTAATTAAAGGTTTTTGCTTGCATAAACTAAATTCAAGCAGCCAAGACAAGAGATGCCTTACCTGCTCAAAGTGCTCTGTATTTAGCGCTGTTTGCACACCATCTACACAAGCCTACAAAGAGGAAAAAAGAAGATTTTAAAATAGTGAAACCTCTGGTATTGATCACTTTAGGGACAACTAAGCCCCTCATAACCATTGGATCAAAACAGAAACATAATTAGTCCAAGTTTTATACTCAAATATTGACTGTGGTTTAGAACACTTAAAAAGTGCAATATAGTATGGTTCATCCTTCACCTTTAAATCAAGGATGTCATCCACACGTTTTATTGTTTCTTGGACACGGTTCTGAAAGCAAAAGAAAAACATAACATCTTAGTAAACCAGAAAAGCAGCAATGTATGTCATCAACAACTAATATACATTATAACCCATTCAAATATATAAATAAAATTTTTGTTTACCAATTACAGTGATAAGTTATGACCAACCTTAACAAGATCCAGAAGTCGCACTTTACTGCTGACTTTTTCTGCCAAATCTGATGTATTGGAAATCATGGTATGCAAATGTTGGGCATCTCTCATTACCAACTGCAGGTTTGGACTAAAAATACATGACACACCACAAGGCATTAATTTCAATCAATAGTAGCTGTATTGTGCAGCCATCTGAAGGGATAAGCCATGCATATATAATTAAATATCATTTTGCATAATTTCTGCAAAAATCATGAAAATTACAATTCCCTTGATTGGGGTTGGTTTAAAAAAATCCTATTTTCCACTAATTCACATGCCAAGTTGTTAGCGAACAGTTTTTATCTGACAGTTTGTTATTGGACAGTTCAATGAGCCAATCACATTCAGAGTTATGGTTTAAATCAACATTTAATCAACATTAAACAATTTATGCCTCTTTTGTCAGTCTTTTAATGCAAATTTTCCCTTTCTCTCAAAACTTGGCTATTCTTTTTTTTTTGGAAATTGTATTTATCATTAATTAATTGATTAAGACTTTATGTCATCCAATTCAGTCTGTAATCATACTTGTGATAAACAAATTGAACTCCTACTGTGCAGTCACTTGATTTTGTTCTCACTCATATCATTACAGACCATATTAGACTCCACACAATCCTATTACCATTACAAATTGGACTCCACTCAGTCCTATTACCATTATCAACAAAATAGCCCAATTTCAGATGCAAACTCTGAATATTCAACAATTGGTATATGGAGATAGGAATACACATGATGGCAACCCTAACTTGATATTAAATAATTGCAGCTTTGTTATAATTATGGTTTGTGCTACAAATATAGATGAAGCATTGGAACGAAAAAAGGAGTCATGGATAGGCTGAACTAAAAAAGACCAGATCAGCTTGTGATTGAGTAAACTTGACAACAGTGGCCTGACTTTTTTCAAGTTAATCTTGATTTGGAATATTAGATGCTTTATAAATCATATTGTAATGCAGACAATTTAACCCTTTACACCCTAACAGTGACCAGCATCTTATTTCTTCATACAACATCACCCTTGAATCAAACATCATGGTCAAAAGAATAAAGAAAATGATTACCAACTAAAGAATCTATTGACTGTTAAACAAATTCTCCTTGTCAGCACCTTAAGAAATGTATGGAGAAGGGTATGGAGAATATCAATACTGATGTTAGAGTATAAAAGGTTAACACCATTCATCACTTACATTACATTCTGTAGTGTGTTAAGTTTTGTGTCAAGTCTTGGTTGGTTTTCCAGTATAGCATCCAGTTCATTGTTAAGTTTTTGCTAGTAACAAGAAACAGCAAAGCAAGTTAGAGTTTTAATTCCTCAAAACAAATTTGGAAAGATGAAGTATTTTCTAAGTTCACTTATAACCTGTATACAAAATATTAAACGAACCTTGGATTTGAATTATTGACCACTTTACCTATAATATTCAACCACTTGGTTTACAGTCAATTCACCACCACCAAACTCACCACAGCTAACAGTCAAATCTCTACCAAATGCAATTTGACTGAGGCATTTTGTCTAGCCTCTCGTATAAAACTTCCAAGTCTCTTTCCCTTTTTGCAATATACTGCTACACCTTAGCTTCCATTTGAAGTAAGTTTCATTCAACAGGCTACAGATAACAACTGAGTCACATCACCACCAATGGCGATTCGAATCTCAGTGTTGGGGAGGTTGGTGGTGGCAAGTTTGTTGTAGCAGTGACCAGATATCAACTGGTTTGTTTACCTTTAACTGTTTGAGGTTTAACCATTATGTTAAATATTTAAATTAAGCATTGTACCAGTTTGCTCGGTTCCGCTTCCTTTTATGCTTAGAATACTGTCGAGGATAACTAACTGCCACTGTTTCTGCTTGGCATCATAGTTCAATTTTCCATATAGTCGATAGGTGACATTGAACTGCACTGAGCTAACATGAACTTACAGAGTTTTCCACGTTATTTTGACGGTGATTAGAACAGCAAGCAAGCTGTACATTTAGGAATATCTAATTTTACTTAATTTGAACCCGCACCAAGGATCCTCAATGGGTTCACCAAACGTATAACCACATTACAGTCGACTGCCGAATCAAAGTGACACGTTGGCGACAGTTGCAAATTGAAAACATGGGAATTTTAAGGGTAAAGTTGCGACTCAATTGCAATATAAATCTTAAAAATTGTGCGTTTAATTTGTAATGTACCTCATGAAGATGGATTTGTGCGTAAGCTTTTTGTATTTCAGCGATATCTGTTAAGCTGTAAACATCCAATTCGTGGGCAGCCATCTTAGAAATTTTTAGCGCCAGCGATGACAGCGGATGTAACTGACGCCCAGAGTGATTGAAATAAGAGTCGTGAAATATCCCTAGCAATCCAACATGGCGGCTGATCGTAACGAGGATAGCAAAGTTAAAGATGGTTCGGCAGTCTCTCAGAAGGTGCTATTTGTACGTAATCTACCCTTTTCTACAAAAGACCAAGATCTCGAAAATATATTCAGTGACGTTGGACCTATCAAACGTAGTTTTGTGATTCGAGACAAAGGTAAGATTAAGCTTCTCGCAGACTCGCACGTGGCATTGTCGTATGCATATCTAGCGTTTGAATATAAGCTCATCTTCACAAGAATAATCAACCGAATATCAATGTTTTAAGACTTTCATATTTACATGTTCTCTTTCAGATGTCAAGAACTCCTGTAGAGGATTTGGTTACGTTACATTTGCGCTCGCCGAAGATGCACAAAGGGCTTTAGATATTGTGAAATCATTTGGAGGGCGACAACTCAGTGTTTGCTTTGCAAATAAAAAACCCAAACATGAAAAGAGAAAAAGGGAACGGGAATTGCATCCTGAGGTTGACAATGATGACAGTCAAAGTGAGTTACGGTTATAAACGTAAAGCAAACATATAGTGCGGTTAAATAAAGGGGGCAAGTGTAGTGCTGCATCTGGGGAGGGGTGGGTGGTGGGTGTCACATGATAATTTGGTTTCATTTAATGATTTGATAATGTACCGATATATTTGCCATGACAAATAGTTTCTGAAGTTGACTTTCTGAGCACTAGCCCCTCTTGATAAAAAATTGACAAAGGGCTAGCACTCTCAAAGTCACCTTGAGCAACTCTTTACAGTGGCAAATTCGCATTATCAGCTCAGTTGATAAAGCTATATTTTCATATATTGCAGTTGGTTTTAATTTTTTTTGCAATGCTGTTTCAAAATTAACCTCCAACACCTTAACATCATTAAGTATATTCTCCATACTGTTCTCTTTGTTTGCTGAGATGCTGATCACAAGAGAATTTGTTTAACTATCAAGAGCATCTTAAATTGTTGATAATTTCCTTCTTGATCTTGATATGTGATTTGGGTATGATATTTTAAGGAGAAATTAGAGGTTAGTCGCTCCAAAAGGTTAACATGTTTTTGGTTGTGTTACATTTAGAGAACATTGAAGATGAGGGACTCCAAACAATGGCCTTGGATGAAAACGAAAATGAAACTCCACCCAAAAAGAAGTTGAAGAGCATTGATCAGGAGGAAAGCGTGATTAAATCCCAGCGCAGAGAACCAAAAAATGATATGGGTAGAACAATTAAACTGACAAAACTTGCTGAAGGCCTTAATCAGAACCATATTAGAAAAAAATTTCGTAAGATTGGGCCTGTAGAAAAGGTTACATTCCCAGCAGAGGGACAGGATACATCAACTGCATTTGTCGTTTATCAGACCCATAAAGATGCCAGAGAAGCTGTAAGGAAACTCAGTGGAAAGATTTTTAAAGGCAATACTATTGGAGTTTCACTTCTCTCTAAAGAAGGGAAGACACCTAGCCAGAGGTCTTTAAAAAAATCCAAGCTCATTGTCAGAAATTTATCATTTAAGTGCAATGAAGAAGACCTCAGAAAGTTTTTCACGCAGTTTGGCCAGATCTCTGATGTTCACATTCCAACCAAGATGGATGGAAAACGAAAGCATCGGCTTGGTTTTGGGTTTGTACAGTTTTGTAATGTTTTTGAGGCTGCAAAGGCCATCAAAGAGACAAACATGAAGGAGATTGCTGGAAGACCTGTTGCTGTTGACTGGGCCCTGGCCAAATCTGACTATAAGGAGAAGAAAGGCATGGAAGGTCTGTAAATGTTCCTTTTTTGTTTTATGTGTATTTATTGGCGTGCATTTGCTATTAGGTAGATTTATAGATGTTTTAGTTGTGTTTCCTTGGTTTAAATTTTCTGTCCATTTTCCAGTTTCCCTGTTACAGTCATGTTGTGAGTTCTATTGTAATTGTGCACCATGCTGCAGCAGAGGTGTTTACCAAGGAGATGGTATCAAAAAAAATAATAGACGGTTTGAAGTACTATGAGTTAATTTTCTGGTAGTATTAGCTTTCACAAAACCCCAAAAAATAAGGCAGAGTGAGATGAAAATAAGTGTCTTACAAACAAGCCTGTAGTTCCCAAGGAAATTTTGAATTAACCCTTTACTCCCAAGATCTGATTGTTAATTCTCCTCTCTAGCTGCTACGTATTTCGTTGTAAATTAGTTATGAGAATTTGGTGCTAGATCAAAATGACAACTTCAGCCAGATAAGTTTGAGTATTCTCATTACCTGTTTGATGGACAATGTATGGATATTTTAGGGAGAAGTTACATATTGATCACCTCTGGGAGTTAAAGGGTTAATGCATCTTTGATCACCCTTAGAGCTCAAAATTAACCTAGGATGTCAAAGTTTGACGTTTATTTATCTTTAGTTTACTTTCTACGTTCCGATTTTTGTTCGGTTATTTATTATTATAGCAAGGTGATATGTTGTTCTTTCCTTTGCTTTGAACGTAATTTTGTACGTCAAAAAAAAAGGCTCAAAATTTATTCAGTTCCCTAAAATATGCAGCAGTTTTTGACAGTTTCAGGCCATTGTTTTTTTGTTCCTATTTCCATGAAATAGAAACACAGGCCGAAAAGACGAGAGTCACAGATGAGAACACAGATGATAACCAAGATGAAGACATCAGTGTTGATGTTTCTAACGATGACTCCGATGTTGAATCAGACGAAGAAAAATCTGGCAGCTCTGATACTGGAGACGATGAAGAGGAGGAGGAAAATGAAGTCAGCGATCAAGAACACGAACAGGAGGAAGAAGCCTCGAAAGCCAAGAAAACTAAGCAACCCTCAGATGTCAAAGAAGGCAAGACTTTATTCATCCGGAACATATCGTTTGACACTAGTGAGGAATCACTTTACGAATTGTTTGAACAATTTGGAGAGGTAGACTATTGTAAGATGGTTGAGGACAAAAGGACCGGTCACAGCCGTGGAATGGCGTTCGTGAAGTTTAAAACGGTTGAAGGCGCCGAAAAGTGTCTTGTGGAAGCAGACAAAGATGGATCCGGTAAGAATGTTGTGTAAATGGTTAAGAATATATGAAAGTCATATATTTGAACTGCGGATAAAGACGTTAATGAAAGTGATCCTCGCAGTAATGTGCACTACTTAGGCAGTAGTGAAAATAAGGCCTGAAAAAAAAAAAAAACCATCTACGTGTTTCGCCGATTTTCATCAGACCACATACATTGTTATAGGTTCAAGTCTCCCTAAAAGTAAAGTTGCCGGTGAAATCCAAGTGAAATTCTGGTTTTCATTGTGAAACTGAGTGACTGAGAGTTTTGCTACTGCCCCCATTATTATTTTTTTCTCGTTTTACCCTCATTCAAATCTCTGGTGGGTTCTACGTTGTACCCGAGAATACTCTCGCTAATTTCTTGCTACGAACACTACGAGCTACAGTGAAAGCTTTAGCTAGAGTTCAGCGTGGGTGTATCAGCTCACCGCGTCCCCCACTTTCATTTATTGTTCTCTGCGAATGATTATTCAAAGAGGAATGTTCTCAGCTATTCAAACATCTGTTTCTTATTCCGTTTTGAGATTCGTGAGTGTAACCTGAACTTTCGAAAATTGTCCTCAAATCTGCTAAAAACTCATCAATTGAATGGTGCTGCCATCTTTAAATTAGCTCCCTAACTTGGTTGCACACGCAAAATCACAACGTTAGGTTCAAAGACGGTTGTTCAGTGGTGTTCTTGCCATTGACACAAAACGTCAAAACACACTCAGAAAAAAAATTACGTCAGGAGAGCACCAAGACATGACCAAAACGGAAATGGGACTGTTACGTCACGGGCATGCAGTCAGATTGCGGCGTAGATGCCCACAGTCGAATTTTTAGCTCATCAGCACAGTGGGAATGCAATCATTTAAGACTTTGCGATGCCATTGAACCGTTCTCTCGTTGTCGATTCCCTAGGCATTACCTTGGACAATTTTAAACTGAATGTGACGAAAGCAGTAACGCGTGGAAAGGCGGCAGAACTAGCAAAGGAAAAGAAGCTGGACGGAACCAAGGATACAAGGGACAAACGTAATTTATACCTGGCTAAAGAAGGTTTAATTACACCAGGCTCAGAAGCTGCTCAGGGCTTGTCCAAAGCTGATCTAGTGAAGAGACAGAAAGCTGAAGCAGAGAAGAAAGCAAAGCTAGAAAATCCAAATAATTTCGTCTCAACAACCCGGTGAGTGTCTTTTTTTGATTGGCTGCAGTGCAGTGAACCCGCTTCCTATTCCATGTTCCTTCTCGCTTATTATGGGGAATATGGGCTTTTCAGAGTTTTGGGCGTTCGTTATTATGGATTTTCCATATATTTCCATGGTTTTTGTTTTGTTTGTTTTTATTTTGTGTTGTTGTTGTTGTTTATTTTATCACGAAATGCTGCGTAGTGTCGTTATTTCTTTAGCTGTGATAAAGTAAATTGAATGACTTACTGCAAGCACTGTTAAATATTCATCTTTTGTGTTTCCAGGCTTTGTGTTCGAAACCTGCCTCTAAATGTAGACGACAAGAAATTGCAAGAGATCTTCGGCACCGCCACAGGAAAGAGGATGCGCTTGAAGAAAGTGCTGATTATCCGGAGTAAAGATAGGTTAGACAGCACAGGCCGTGGACGTTCCATGGGATACGGATTCATAGAATTCACCAATCACAAAGACGCTCTTGCCGTCCTGAGAGTCACCAATAACAATCCCGCCATATTTGGACCGGATCGTCGACCAATTGTGGATTTCTCGATAGAAAATAGCCTCGTCCTCAAGGCGAAGCAGCGTCATGTAGAGAAGGCTCAGCACAAGCAGCAGCAGAGCGTCGACGAGCATGCGCGCGATGAACAACCCAAGACAAATAAGGAGAGAAGGCTGGAGCGAAATCAGAAGCGAAGAGAAAAACGAGTGAGAAAGAGAGAAGCGAGAAAGAAACGAAAATTGGAAGAGGGCAAGGACAGCGAAGGCGGCAAAATAGCGCAGGAAAGAAACAAAGTTATTAAGGCAGTGAACAGTTCAAACTTATCCTCATCGAAAGCAAAGAAATTTGAAAATTTGTCCAGAATGGACGTTACACAATCTGAGTCGAAGCGAGGTAAAAAGAATGTAGGAAGAAATAAACAATCGTCTTTGGTTCTTAGAAACAATTCTCGTACCAAAGTCACATCAGGTACCGCCCCAAATGTTAGTCCCTACCTTAAAATGGTAAATAGAGCTTCAAAAGAAAGACAAGACATTGAGTTTAAAGTGAGCAAAACCTCCGATGCCCCAAATAGAAAGAGGAAAGGCGCCCGGAAACGACAACAGGAGCAGAACGACGAGTCGAAGTTCTCTCAGATGGTGTCTAAGTACAAGAACAAACTGTTTGGAATGGATAATAATGAATCATCCTTAAAACGCACGCGTTGGTTTCAGTAATCTACCGAAGCTAAATGGATAAATCTTCCTTGGATGAGCAAGACATGTAGTTCAGTGTTGCTTAAACCTTCTGTTGTCCAAATAGGGAAAGGAAAGGACCTTTAATAAAAAAGAGAGAGCAGCCGAACAAAACATAGTTTTCTGAAATTTTGTCCAAGTGTAAGAACAAATTATTTGGAATAGACAACGATAAATCAACTACAGAACTTAAGCGTTGGTTTCAGTAATGCGCGAGAACTCGGGCTAAAATGAGAGTTTTCCCGCCACATGGGCCTTTACCGAAAGTGATCTTTCGCAAGGCGTATGTGTCTCTTCTTGTTCACGCGATGCTTGGTAAAGCTTTTTATGAATTTTTGTGTTCTCGTATTTCAACAATGGTTAATAAAAGTTATTCATATCTTCTGCTTTCATGAATAAACACAAACAACCCTAGAAGCTTTTTGGGATCAATATCAGTATCTGGGCAACTGCCCACCTACCCCTCCCCTAACTGGGTTAGGGAAGGGGTAAGTGGGCTACTTGCTAGTAGAGCTCTTTAGCGGTTAGTTTTAATTTCCCAATGGAAACCTCTGGGGAATTCCCTCCCTTGTCTTTGGTAAAAAAATGCTTACCTCTGCACGTGAGACGACGAAATTTGAGAGAAACAATTCTCAAGTGTATTATCACATGACCTACATTGCGCAAGCTTAAGAGGTCCGGCCGTAAACCAGGAAAAAACGTAAGGATTCATGGGAAATCTGCGAGATATGATGCAAGTGGAATAGGCCTTGTGAAGAAGGAAAACGTGAGTGGGCCGGGTTCAGTTGATTTTACGTGACGCCAAAAAATTAAACGAAAGAATCTTTTCTTTAAGAAGATAGGGATTCTCAAGTGACCGCATCACGTTCAACGATCTCTGTCGGAAAGTCATTGCTGCACCAGAGTACATGTGTCTTCTCCGCCTTCCTTAAGAGAATCAAAGGTCCTGATCCTATTTCACGCACAACTTTTTGCAAAAGTCTCGCGTCAAGAGTACTTTAAACAGCATTTTACGCGTCACGAACTAATAAGGAGACTAAACTTCAAATCTTTCCACTTGTGGGCAAGGTTTCAAGGAAATCTTTAGGTTTTCAAGAAAAGAAAGAAGACACTCATAAATCATGTATTTGGCGGGGAGGCGAATGACGCCTTGCGCTGGTTATAAATTTACGAAACACGCTTGCCTTTCTGTAAAATTGACGCTTCACATACATTTTGGCCTTGATCGTGCGTCAGTCTAAAACCCCTTGCCACCCTCTTTCTTGTGTAACATAGGTAATTGGCTGTTCAAAGTCAAGCAGTTTTTTTTAAAAGACTGAAGAGTGGAAAGCAGGTGTGGGCCTCCTATTCTCCATATTGTTGACTGAACAGAACAATTATTAGAGACTTTTGATTGTTCCCACTTAATCTGTTGCACGGGCCGAAACATATCAGCAGAAAAAAAAGGAAAACAAAAAAAAGACGTCGGCCGTCCGTTCGTGAGATCGCGCGACATCAACTTATATAAATCCGAAGGTCTGAGGTTCGATTCCTCATGGGAACTCTGCCCAAAATTTTTTCATTGTCCTACGCTCGTAGTACTTGACCAGTTTCGATTATAAGGGTCGGGTTTTTTACTAAATGGGTGACGGTATTTGCGAGTTTACTATGACCATGAACTGGGTTACTATGTGACTAGAGTCCTGTATGCTGCCTGAATTTGCATTGTCGAGAGTATATTTATAGGTTATTTCACGGTTGATGAGCGCGTACGATTTTTATTCACAACGAGTGAATAATGACTTATTTATTACATACATAACGAGATTCCTAAGCGAACAGAACTCAAAGATAAACATATCTTTATTTTCTCTCAAAGGAAAACAACGCGCGGTCAAGCCGCCTCACAGTTCGAGACTTGCACTGAAATGGCTTCCTTGTAAAATACTTTACAACACACACACACGCACATGCGTGGGTGTGTGTGTGTGTGTGTTGCGATAGGAGGAAAAAACAGAGAGACTATACTTTTATACCAAGCCTGTTTGTGATTGCTCTCTTATCAGGGGATTTTGTTAAGTATATTCGTACCATCGTTTACATACTTTACAAATTTGCATAGTAGGCGTGTCGGTTAATTTCGATGCTTAGTTAAATTGTTACGCAGGAACGTTTTGTTTCTGTGGTGAGGACACGAGTTCATTACGTTTATTGAGTGATGATAATTCGGGTCGGCGGATGATGAGCAATTTTTCTTTGAGGCAGAAGTTGCATCTTTTGTTTGCGCTGTTGTAGGGTGATCTTGATGAAAGGATGCGCCATGAAATAAAGTGGTTAAAGTTATTTTCTTTAAGAGTCCAGATATGTTTGCTGAGTTCGGTAGAGTTTCTGTGTTTTGTGTGTCGGAATGATGCGGTGTGGTTTCTGTATCTAGTCTTGAAGTCGTTTCCTGTAAGTCCGATGTATGTTTCAATGGTGCCGTTGTCCTTACGTGTGACGGTGGCATGGTAGATTAGAGATGATTGGAGGCAGTTTCCGTTAAGTGGGCATGTATTCTTCTGTCGGTGCATCTTTTGTGTTGGTGTTATCTGCAGTGTCATTAATATGTTCGGATGAACTTAAAATGCGTATATGTGTGTGTATATATATATATATATATATATATTTATATGTATATGTCAGGTACTGAATAATATCTACGAGACATTAAATACCAGAGTGATACAAAGAAAATATATGAGTTTCTGAATTTACGTTTGATAAGTTAATTTTCGGCTCTCTCAGGTTAATCCTTGCCTCCAGGATTTTTCCACGGCTTGTTTTTACCTAAAAGGTCTAATTCTGAATTCGAGTCGAAAATGCCACCCTCTTAAACCATTATTATTTCGCATCTTGCATGTCACCCAGTCGAGGGTCCCCATAGGGTTAATCGTTAGCCGTAAATCGGTCATAAAACTAGCTGTTGGACGTAAGAATTGATGCTTGAAATTTCAACCCTTAGTTGTAGCAAAAATTATCCTTAAAAATCTTTCCTTCTTACAAAGTGTTATTTTGTGTTATTCTGAGTTAACTGCAGCAGAAAAATGGCCAAAATTTTAACTGTTAGCCGTAAAAAGTTCTCCTCGGTCGGCCCTCTTCAGTTTTAAGTAAGTTAAGCTGTTTTAGTTAAGTTTGCAATCGTGGAAAAAAAACTCATCAATATTTTCTACACTCGAGGAACCACACCGACCTTGGGTACCTCCCATGAGGAGGACTCTTTCTATAAATGGAATAAAGCACCATCTCCCAAAGTGAAAGGTAATTTCTTTTTTCTTGCCTCTTCAAAGATATATGACAAAACATCATGTCGCCTTACATGCTATAGAAGCGCGTCGCGTGACATCCTGAGGAACGGCTGCCAATGAAACTAGCAGTTATAAAATCTGAAAAAAAATCGAGGTTTGTATCTTATTTAATAACTCTATCCAAGGAAATGGGCAAAAGTTGAGCTAATTAGACATAGGTGCGCTCACTTCTTCAAACGACAAGATGTGACACAACATCACATCTGTCGCATAACGTGCTAAAGAATGTCTGACGCGTGACATCCTAAGAAACGGCAGTCAGTGATCGATACTAACAGTTATAGAGTCAAAAAATATCGAAGTTTATCTCTCATTCAATAAATTTATTAAAAGAAATGGGCAAAAGTTATTAAGCGAATAAGACATAGGCGCACTCATTACTTCAAACGACAAGAAATGGCTTATGCAGTTTGATGCAGAAATTTTCTTCCCTTTGTTATTGATTTCCTCTTCTATCCTAACAAAATGCCAAGCGATTTGTTTCATTGTTTGACATTCAAATGTTAGTTTATTGTACTTAGATAATAGGTAAACAATCTAATCGGAGAAACTAAACAAAATCATTTGGCTCCAACTTTCTAGCTCGTTCTGAGCTTCTTTTGTTGCTTTGTAGGCCAGTAACTGACATTAAAATAAAACTTCTCGGTTTGCCTTTAGACTAGCTCTTAGTTTAAACAATATACTTAAAATGCATCGTTCTGCTTGTAAAAAATAACACTATTTATCGCATTCAAAATTTAAGGAGAAATCTCAGAAAATTAACTAATACCAAGACTAAATCCTGGCCATTACGGCAAAAATCTGTCATTTTAAGTTCAGATAAACCAAATTATGATCGGCAGAAACTAACTTTAAGTTCCAATGACTGGGTACAAATCCTCGAAAAGTTTATCACAATTTTCATCTCACATAAACTAAGATAGTCGAGCAATCGGAAAACTGATTATTCTCCAATTTCCATGGAAATTCTCCATACATGCACATGGCTGTAACAGCTTTACATCACTCATGAGACAAAAACCGATTGAGAAAAATCTGTAAAAAAACTGTGGAAAACGTTTTCAAGACGTTTCAACTTCGACGTAAACGTAATGCCTTAATCCTCGTAGTAGGTAATACTTACACTAAAAATAACTTTTTACATAGCTAATCGTGATAATTTCAAGACATCATATAAAAAAAAGAAGGAAAGAAACAATACTTTCAGAAGGATATCAAAAATGAAGCTCGTAAGAGCAGTTCAAACAAGCAAAAAGTCAACTTTTGAATCAAAGGAAATCTGTTCGCTTGTTAAACTTGACTTTCGCCGTCTTTTGGTTCTTCCTGCTTTGAAAATTAGGCTCTTGACATAGATTTCATCGGTAGCTTACTGGTTTCTGGTCCAAATATCAGCGTTTTGTTGGTATCCGAAAACTCCCTGGGATTCCAATGCTAACTGCCTGAACTGAAAAATAAAAGAATCTAAGTTTAGGGGGCCGGAATGGTTGAGTTGCCATGAAATATTTTCTCGCACATGAAACGATACATTGCACAAAAGGATTGTTTTAAAAGAAACTTGCTTTTTTACTCCTAATTTTTCCTAAAAAGAATGTTATCATCGTAAACGTGTCCACTTGATTGTACTGCATCTCAATTTGCCGGAGCGAAAAAATAAATTCGTAACCCAACTGAAAGGAAAATAACACGCGAGTATCAGTGCTCACATATAGGCAATAATTATGATTTAATGTAACTTTGTATTGAATAGAATGTATGAACAGAATATTTACTTGCTTCAGCTTCTAAATATCATTGAAATCCAGGTTGACGTCGTCACCAATGAGTACAAATGGTGCCCAGTGCATCACCTCCTTGAACTTTTCGATTTCTTTCATACACTTCATGGCCTGATTGAGAGCTTCACTTGCCTTCTTGCCTTTGGAAAGTGCATCGTAGAAGAAACTCATGAACTCCAGGGTTCCCTCGTCGCCAATCGCCCACAAGGTTACCACAGCAGATCTGGCACCGGCAGCCAAAAGGGCACGCGCCATGCCGACC